CGTAAGAGAACATTTATTTGGGAAATCACAGAGGGTGAAGAAGTAGCTCATAGAGAAGATGGGCTTAGGAAACAAGTTACAGGAGTAAAGGGAGGGCCCTTGGAGCTTGGGAGTGAGGAAGGTGAAGGTGAAGTGCCAGGGGGGAGGGGGAAGGGTAAGGGGGAGGGGGAGGGGAAGGAGCTGGAGAAAGGCACAGGCCTGCTCCCACGAGGGAGCACTGCTAGGTCCTCAGTCTTGAGGGTTTTGAGGGTGGAGATTTTAGGGGAGGTCCCAGGAGAAGATCTCAGTAGAATAGTCACCAGCTTTCCAGGTGTGTCCTTTCAGGGTCAGAGCAGCTGGTCCTGAGGTCAGCAGTGGTGTCACTTGTCTGGTTTTGCTGCTTTTCGGGGCCTGGAGCTGAAATACAACTCGAGGCTTAGATGTTATCTCTAGGGAGGAAAGGTCAGGGGTCCAAATCACGTGACCAGCCATATGGAAAGGCCAGGGGGCCCCACCTGCATGACCAGCGAATTGCTAGAGGAGGAAAGGTCACCCTGGAGGTGAGGTCCTGCCCTACATTTGTCCTTTACGAGGCACTCCGCCCTGCTGACCTTCTGTATCTGGCTCATCGCCTTTGCTCTGCTCATGTCTAACTGCCTCACACAGATTGTCTCATTCATGTCTTTACAGTCGGGCTGTTTGAATCAGAATTGGGCTATTTGTGTGTGTATGTGTGTATTTGATTTTATTTTTATTGGGATATATTTGACATATAACTGTAAGTTTAATACATTGATACATTGCAGTATGATTGCAACTATGGTTTCAGGCAACACCTCTATCACGTCACAGTTATCATTTCCCTTTCTGTGATGGGAACAGTTAAGATCTAGTCTCTTAGCAACTACACTGTACATTCAGTCCCAGGACTTACTCAGCTCCTCGCTGCTCATTTGTGCCCTTAAACAGGACCATTGCCTTCCCTTATTATGTTTGTGAAGTCCCTTTGCATCTAGAAAAGTCCTTTCTAATACCGGTTGTGGGATTTTAAAGGAGAACAAATTAGAACTGTTTTACTTGTTACTCTGAGGTGAAGGCTGGTTTTGGGAAATGCGTGGGCCCTCTGCACCCAGGGCAAACCACTGGATGCTAGCCTGGGGTCTGTTTTGCAAAAAATCCTTTTAAAAATAACCATGCCTTGTGTATGGTTGCTTCCTGTGTAGGCGAGTGTCTCCCTCAAACGCCTCAGGATCTTTCTGTCCCACGAGGAGCTGGATCCAGACAGCATCGAGCGACAGCCCATCAAAGACGGTGTGTGCGTTTGGTCCTCTGTGCAGGGTGCTGCCCTCCCCTCAGCTGTCCTCCGTTTCTTTGCCCAGCAGCTTGTCTGTGAGGCCGCGTGGGGGGAAGGATCTCTGCAGAGTGGGTGGACTCAAGGGCCTTGCCTTGCAACTCCCAGGGGGGCGAACTTGCACTTCTGCTTTCTTGCTGAGAGGCACCCGTGGGCGAGGCCTCTCCCTGAAGGTCAGCTTCTGGGGTACCTAGACTTCAGTTCTATCCTGGGCAGATGCACAGACAAAACTAGGCTGCTGGGAACTGACCAGTTGTGTGTACTTGGTCCCTTTACTGCTCTGAGCCTCAGTTTCCCCACCTGAATAATGGGAATGAAGGTACTTTTCTGTGTCAGGGGGTTATATGGGTTTTTATTGGCAAGTTTGTTTATTTTATAGCTTATTAATTTGTCCTTTCCCAGCCAAAGCCCCTGACCAGGGATCTGATCCATGGCTGCACCTCCAGGCACTTAATAATCGGCTCTACTAGCACTCACGGCAGCAGCCACTTTCACACCGTGACACTCCCGCCAGGTGCTCTGTGCTAAGGACGTCTATGCTCCTGTGGCACAGAGAGAGGGGCTGTGGAAACCCCCATTTTAACAGATGAGGAAACTGGCCCCAGTACCTTGCGCAGATCTCACAGCCAGTACAAACTGGAGTCGGGATCCACACGACGGCCTGTGCTCTCAGCCACCGAGTGGGTTTGTTGTAGGCGGTGGGAGCGGCACCAGGTGTCAGACCGGCGTGGTCAGGCCAAGCCTGGGTTCAACCTCGGTACTTAGGTTCTGGCCAGGAAAGAATTCAGAGCCAAGCCCCACACTATAAGAGAACACTTACTTGGTAAATCACAGAGGTACAAATAATTCTTAGATGAAATGGGCTTTTAAAGAGGTAAGGAAAGGGTCCCTTTGGGAGTGAGGAAGCATGGGGCAGGGAGAGGGAGGGAAACTGGGAGGGGGAGAGAGAAAGGGAGAGGGGAAGGCTCAGGCACAGGCCTGCTCCCAGGAGGAAGAGCAGCGGGTCCTCACCCTAAGGGTGTTTTGAGTGGAGACTTAGGGGAGGTGCCCGGGTAAATAGACTATTCAGCAGTGTCCCAGCTGTGTCCTTTAGGGTTGTGGTCTCCGCTGATTGGCCGACACCAGGGCAGAGGGTCGTTCAGTGCAGCTGGTCCTGAGGTTGGTTCTGTTGCTTATTGGCCTGGAGCTGAAATACAAGTTGAGGCCCAGATGTTATCTCTGGGGAGGAAAGATGGAGGGCGAGGGGTCCTGGTCCAAACACCGGGCCAGAGATAAGCCAGGGGAGAAAAGTCACCCTGGGAGCAGGTCCCACCTTACAAATGCCTGTTGCTAGGCATCTGGGGTTTCCCGCCCTGATCTTCTGTACCTGGCCCATCATCATCACCATCCTCACCCTTGCTGTTAATGTCTGTCTGCCTACCACATACTGAGTACCTACTATGTGCCACACACTGTTCTAAGGACTCTCCGTGTATTGCCTCATTTACTCCTCATCACAGCCCCCATATGGAGTCCATCCCATTATTATCCATCCTGTTTTACAGACGAGGAAAGCCAGGCACACAGAAGTTTAGTAACTCGCCCAGACCTATCCAGCCAGGAAGTGGCAGTGTAGGGCTTTGAGCCTGCACAGTATTGGCTCCAGAGCCCCAGGAATGTGTGTGTATATTGGTTATAATGTGTGAGCACTACCTGGCACCTCACAGTCTTCAGTGGTGTGTAAAACACCAGCACAGTGCCTGCTAGCCCAGGAGAGGTGGTGATCGTTGCTTCTCTAGTGTCGGTGAGAAGGTCTGCAGCATTGCCATATGAGCCTCGGCACCACTGGCGTTCCGGCAGATCATGCTTTCTCTGGTGTGGTTATATGATGAGCAGCATCCCTGGCCTCTACCCACTAGATGCCAGTAGCCCACATCCCTATTTTAAAAAAAAAAAAATTTATTGATTTTTAGAGAGAAGAAAGGAGAGGGAGAGATAGTAACATTGAAGAGAGAGAAGCATTGATTGTCTGCCTCCCGCACGCCCACTGGGGGTTGAGCATGTGCCCTGACTGGGAGTGGAGCTGGTGACCTCTTGGTTCACGGGTCAATCCTCAACCACTGAGCCACGCTGGCCTGACCACACCCCAGTTTTAACAGCCCAAAATGTCTTGCTCCGAATACATTCTGTCCCTTGGGGAGCAGAGTCACCACCACTTGAGCACTAGTGCTCCCTGGATGCTAGAATCTTCCCCCTGCTGTCCTGAGGACCTTTGTCCCCTTCCCACCAAAGGATACGGGGGCAACAGCATCGAGGCCAGGGTTGTTTCTCTGCGTAGCCCAGGGCCTAAACTGGGGGCCATCAGTGGAGGTTTGAGCTGCTGAAGCTCACAGCTCCCTGCATGTGGCATGTTGGAAAGCCCTACATGGTGCTCTGAAGACCTCAGCCCCTCCCTTCCTGCCCTGGTGGCAACCTGCTAGGCATTTCCACCTCCTGAGATGTTGATTTACACCTCCAGGTGCCAGACTTGGCAGCTTTCAGCCACTTCTCATGGTCCAGTAGCTTGTCGGTCTCAAGTAGCTTTTCTTAATTTTTTTTTTTTTTTCCATTTTCCTCCTTGTTCTCCGTTTTCAGGGGGGACAGGAAGAGGGAATGAGGGAAAAGGTTAAAAGTTAGTTTAACCAGTAACTTCCTCTCACCACAACTTTTTGCTTTTCTGATGCGTGGAGGAATTTCTTCGTTTGATAACTGCAAAACACCCCCATCTTATCTCTAGGTGGTTTTAAGTGGGCCCATAATTAGAGTCACATTTGTGTTTTTCTAAGTGGAGTGAGAGGGAAGTAAGGGGAGGGAAAGTGAAAGAGGACAGAGGTGCCCGAAGCTAGAGTCACTGCAGCTCTGCATGTATGCAGCCTTTGTCTCACCACCCTCCCCCTGCCGTACCCACAGCCTGCTTTCACAGCGGATGTGACTGCTGTTTAGAAGGGCCTATGTGATGGGAGATGAGTTAGGAGGCAGCCCTGAAATCCAGGAGTTGGGGAGCGGGCTGCTTTGAACACCAAGGAAGAGGCCCGGGGCGTGGTGATGGCCAGGAGCCAGTCCATACTTAAAGAGAGAAGCTCAGCGCGGGAGGCTTCTGCTCGGCCCTCCCGGCCAGAGCTGGCCGGCGGAACCTTGCAGGACAGGGCGAGGGAAGTTCCTGGATCCCTGTGCTCCCCGTAGGCTCCCCCCGCCCCCCCACCTCTACGCGATGGTCATCCGGATGGCGCAACCTCCTGCCTTTCAAGGCGGAGTCCTCCTGCGGTTTTCTTTTGCCTTCCGGGTCTGAGGCTGCCTCCAAAATTGCTGGCTGGGTTCTTCTTTCAGAACTGAGACAGATGTAACCAGATAAGGCCTGGCGGAACTAACGCCAGAGCCTGCTGCTCACTCTCAGCCCCATGACTTCACTGTGCCTGACACGCTGTGTCTGCTGCTTTTCAGGCGGGGGCTCGAGCATCACTGTGAGGAACGCCACCTTCACGTGGGCCAGGAGCGACCCCCCCACGCTGAATGGGTAAGCCAGGATGTGGTAAGCAAGCATGGGTTCAATGCCAGCCACGCTCCAGCTCTATGACCTTGATTGAATAGGTCACGTTGCCTTTCTGAGCCTCACTTGACCCATCTGGAAAATAGATGCAGTCACACCCGATGGGAGTGTGCCTGACGGAAACCTTGCACGGATAAGCTTAGGCCACAAAGGGAGAGCTTGGCTGTGAATAACTGAAGGGCCACTTTCAGGTAGTGTGACCCAGGGACTCCGAACCATTAGGATTCTCTGCATCTTGTCATTGTTCTGCTTCTCTCTCAGACGGCCTCTCCCCTCCTGATGGCAAATGGTCCCTATTCGCTCCAGGTGTGGATTAGGACAGCGGTCGCCAACCTTTCGGACTTGACAGATCACCAGTGTCCCCAGACCACTGCTTGGTGACCACTGTCTGACTCTTGATTGGCCCAATTTGGGTCATGTGCCCCTCCCTGAGCCAATTACTGTGCCCGGAGAGACCCAGCACACTGATTGGCCAACTAGGGTCCCAGACTGTGATGCTGATGGTGGTGGCAGGCAGGCTTGAGTCTGTCGCAAGGAATTCTCAACTGCTGGGATTTGCTCTCAGGATGGAATTGCTCTCTGTCCTTCGGGGGATCACCAGCTGCTTGGCTCACCCTTCCTCATGCATTCCCTCCCTGGCACCTTGCCCACACAGCACACAGTGTCCAGGGAATTGACCTGGCTTTCCAGGCAGCTTGTTTAGTGCCCCTTATTTCCTCTGACCGGAGGGAAGCCTTGCCTAGTGGTTTCCAGGCCTCTGTAAGGAGTCCCCAAAACACAGGGCCAGAGGGGCCAAATGTACCCCCCATGCCCCTGAACAAACACCCCCTCCTGGGAGCCAAATTACAGAGAAAAGGGTCTGCCTAGCACCTCCCTAGGAAATTCATGGTGGGGTTGCGTGTTTAGGAAGTTCTTCCTTGTGTCTGACTACTCCTGCCTGCTTCAATGTTAGCTTCTCTCTCATTCTACTCCACAAGTAAGTTCTCTGTATCTGTGCTCTCATCTTTCCTCTGTTCCTCCAGAACCAAAGGTGGTCCTGTTCCTCACCCACCTGGATTCCCTAAGTCTTTATTCATCCAAACGTTCTTTCTCCTCAGCTTATAAAGATATCCCCGTCTCTGGGGAGGGAGGGCATATAGGGGAGTGGGAGGCGGTGGGGATTGGTAAGGTATGTACACATATAATACCTTAATTAAAAAAAATGAGTGGGGAAAAAAAGATATCCCCGTCTCACCTGGATGATTGCAAGAGCTGCTTCCCTGAGTCCCTAATCCACTCCCCTCACTGCACAGGAACCAAAGCACAGTCAGTGCAACCCTGCGTCAGGTCCCCAAGAACTATAATAGACAGTGAGTGACAGCAAAATCCAGCAGCATCTCCACTGAAAGGTTGGAAATCCTAATAGCAGCCGTGGGAAAGCACAGCCGGTGTGAGCAAACCCGGCAGGGCCCTGGATGTGCTGCCCATCGGCTGGGTGGGATCCTGGCTTCGACAGCTCGTGTGACAGGCAGTTACTGCCGCAGCGTGAGCTCATTTTCTTTGCTCACTGGTACCTGTCAAAGGGCAATTTCGGTGGAGGCCACCACCACCTTCAGAGCTGGCCTACCTCCCGCCTCATCTGTGTCACTAACAGGTCAGTCCCTGACCGTACACACCAAGCCTTGGCCTTTTCTTAAGCTGCTCTAGGTTTCCGTGTCCGACACAAGCTTACCCTTCCTTCAGAGTTCATTGTGAGGTCCCTCTGCCCCCCAGCACCTGTGCTGTGCCCTGGGCAAAGGGAATGCCTCTGCATTTGGCGGATGGCTCAGGGCTCCATTTTCTCAGATGCGCTGGCCTCTCAGCACCTGGCCTATGCCTCACGCAAGAAAGGCCCTAGACTGTTCGCTGAGCTCAGCTCAGCAGTAGAAACCCAGAGAAATTTCCAGATTGTGGAGGCACATGGAAGCCCTGCCTCCGCTTCTCATTCTGGCACCGGCCCTGCCCACCTCATTCGGGTGAGAGCATGGCTGAGGCCCTGTGTGTTGTGTCTTTTCAGCATCACCTTCTCCGTTCCAGAAGGTTCCCTGGTGGCCGTGGTGGGCCAGGTGGGCTGTGGAAAGTCATCTCTCCTGTCAGCGCTCTTGGCCGAGATGGACAAGGTGGAAGGGCACGTGGCCATCAAGGTAGGCGGTCGGGGTGAGCGGGGCCGTGGGGGCCAGTGCCTGAGGGGAAGGTCAGTGTGACTCTGGGTTCTCTCTCACGTGGTCCCCGCGCATGAGGCAAGACAGCGGGGTCTCTCCCTCTCTCGTTCTTTCTCTCGCATTCTTTCTGCCCTTCTCTGGGCCATCCCGGAAAAGTGTCACTGGTTTCCTGCCGTGTCCGAGCACCTGGCACAGTGCCAGGCATGGAGTGGGCACTCAGGGCATGCTTAGTAAGCACACCAACGCTCCCTGTCTGTTCACCGTCTCGTTCCCGCTCCTTCTCTGCCCCTCATTGTGCATCTCGTGGCCTCTGTCCACGAGTCTTTCTGGCTGGTTCTCTTTCTTCGGAGCTCTCTGTGTATTCGTGTGTGTGTGTGTGTGTGTGTGTGTGTGTGTGTGTGTGTGTGTGTAAAAGTAGCTAAACTTAAATTTCTGATTTATGTCATTGGAATGTGATCTTAGAGAGTTCTTTTTAAACCACTGTTTAAAATCTGAGTGTTTATTGATTTCTTAATATGGGGCTAAAACAGGCAGTGGTTTTATTGCATTTAAATACACAGAGTACTGTGACCTACGCTGATATATTCCTCAAGGGAGTGTCTGAGAGGCCGCTTCAGTGAATAAATGAGTCCTTAGAAATGGAGAGCCTTGTTTTGCATTTAGCTCGTTCCCCTTGAAGGCTTTTCCTGGGGTAGGAGCACCTCCCTCTTAGTTTCGTTGGTACCCGTGGTACCTGAAGTGGGGTCTGCAGCAAATGCGCCTTGCAGGGTGTTTTGGGAAATACCGCACTCCGATTCCCTCCTTCGTGGACACTCAGAATAAACATGAATAAAGTATAAAAGCTCTCAGGAATCCTGCAAGAAGAAAGAAACCTATTTGACTTTTGGTTAACCCAGCATGGTCCAGCCCACAGCATTTCATTGTCTATGTGGAAACCAGTTACCGCCCCGAATTACTGCCTCTTGGAATCAGCTTTTGTTTTTTTGTTTTCTAAATATATTTTATTGAGTTTTTACAGAGGGGAAGAGAGAGGGATAGAGAGCTAGAAACATCGATGAGAGAGAAACATCGATCAGCTGCCTCTACCGGGGATGTGCCCGCAACCAAGGTACATGCCCTTGACCAGAATCGAACCTGGGACTGTTTAGTCTGCAGGCCGACGCTCTGCCCACTGAGCCAAACTGGTTTTGGAGGAATCTGCTTTTGGAGGCTGGTTTCTGCCATTGTCTCTATCTCAGTGCACAATCTTTATGGATTAAATAACGCCCTTCAGTCCAATGTGCATTAGTAGAAAGTATACATTGCGGTAGTTGGGCCCAAGCTAATATTGTAAAGCTGTTGTTTTAGGAAATGCTCTGTCATTACTTTCAGGTACGCGCTATGAAGTAGGATCGATGGGCCACGTGAGCTGGGTTAATGGGAGGAAATGACTCATCATGTAGGGACCCACGTTGCGTTCTGTTTCATTAGCCCTGGACTTCCCCAGCCACAGCCCTGAGACTCGCTGGGCTGGATCATTCTCTGTTGTGGGATGTCCTGGGCATGGGAGGGTGGTTAGCAGCATCCGTGGCCTCTACCCCGGGACCCCCGCGGCAGCTCCAGCTGTGACAGCCAGAGGTGTGTCTAGACATTGTCAGGTGTCCCCTGGAGGGCAAAACCACTCCCGGTTGAGAACCACCGCTTTAAAGGAAAAAGCTTTTAAGTAAAAAAGGGGTGGGTCTGGAATTTGAGGGTGCACTGAGTATTTGGTTTGACGAGGTTGAAAGATTATTTGTGATGGTTATTTTGCCAAGTAAGGGAGTGCCTAGCCCTCTTATGGCCTTCTTGAGACCTTACATTATGTGGAAAGAAAGACACAACAGCTTTTGAGATGGACGATTTTGATACAGAAGTCCTTGCTTCAATTTCTTCAAGGAAATGTCCTCAAGACATGCTTTTCTGATGTTCCTAACTGGTCTTTCTTTCCGAAGGACTGTTTAAAGGTCTCAGATGTTTTCCTCTTAGCATTTACCACAACTGTAATCAGTAATTTTTAGTCCACTGATGGAGGCATTCAGTGAATATTTACTAAATGCGTAACTATAAACTCACCAATGAGGATTTTGATTCTTGAACTCCTGATATCAGTGGGTTCTGATCTCAGCTCTGGCATCCGCTGTCCTTTGTGACTCAGTTTACCTCTTGTTGAGACAATGGGTGCGACGCAGTCATTTGTGAAGGAGGGCCTTTCTGGCATGTGGTGAGCTGGCTACTACCTGGTTAACCAAGCACGTCTCCTTTTCTCCTTCTCTGCGTGCCATGCAGGGCTCGTTGGCCTACGTCCCCCAGCAGGCCTGGATTCAGAACGATTCTCTCCGAGAAAACATCCTTTTCGGACGCCAGCTCCAGGAAAGTTACTACAAGTCTGTGATAGAAGCCTGTGCCCTCCTCCCAGACCTGGAAATCCTGCCCAGCGGGGACCGGACGGAGATTGGTGAGAAGGTCAGTATGTCTTCAGCATAGCCCCTGTAACAGTCAGCTATTGCTGTGTAACAACCAAAACATCTCAGTGACTTACGATGTGAAACGCTTAGTCCTTACTTGTGAGTGTGTGAGTTGACTGTGATTGGCTGACCCGGACTGGGCTCCATGTTGCAAGCCAGCGGAGCTTGGCTCCACACGGCTTCTTTCTGGGGCCTAGATTGAGGGGCAGCCGCTCCCCAGGGGAAAGTTCTTCTCATGGTGAGAGCCCAAGAGAACAAAGAGTAATGGATGTCCCTTAAAGCTCACTGTTCTTCCCACTACAGGGTGGGTAGGTCGCTTGGTTGAGCTGAAAGACAAGGGACCAGGAAGTGCGTTCTCATTTGTAGTCATGTGACTGCAAAGTCCCAAGACCAAGGGCCCTATACAGGGAGGAGGGGTGTCAGTGATTCAGATGTTCACAGTCTGTTTCAAAACAGTTATAATAATAAAATAGCTAATTCTTCTGAGCATTTACTACGGAGTTGGCACTAGTACGTACAGTGCTACACATTTTATACATATTTTGTCATCACACAAGCCTGTGTGATGGGATTTACTGTTTTCCCCATTAGTGGTCGAGGAAAAGGAGGTAGGGAGAGGCTAAGGGACTTGCCCTAAACCTTTCCCACTTCCAGGCCTTTGCTCATGCTTTCCCCACTGGCCAGCTTATCTTAGCGCCCCCTGGTGGTCACCTGATGTGCACTAGGCAAATGCAAATGTTCCACAGCAGCACCAAAGAGCTTTCTAGTCCATTTTCATTTACAAGACAGTGGCTCAATCAGCTTTTTTAGTTGATGAATTATTTATTTCATTAGAGAGAAATCTGCCAACCAGCTTTCTGAAATTATTATTCTTTTCTTTTTTTTTCTTTTTTAAGTCCCTATATGTGCCACTTGGTGATTCCTAACTCTCTTTGTCTGGGTCCCAGCACCAGAATCCGGAGGAAGAGAATATAATTGGCTTAGGACACCATCTTGGTGCCTGGGGATGGAGGGCATCTCTCAGAGAGGCTGGCAGCTAACCCAGTGGGTGTCACTTTGATTGCCAGCGAGATATGGAAGTGACAGTGCGTTATCTGCCCTGGGAGGGACAGGGCTGCTGCTGTTTGGCCCAGCTGGTATGCTCTTATGCGAATTAGAAAATGGTACCTTTCCTGCTAGTGAGTGGGGCTGGCTCCCAGGGCCTCCAGGTGCAGCCTGCCTGGACTGTGTGTGGCTTCACCAGTGAGTGCTAGATCCAGAGGGAGCTCTCAGAAACCATTAGCTGTTAACAAGAACAACAACTGTAGCCCTAGCCGGTTTGGCTCAGTGGATAGAGCGTCAGCCTGGGGACTGAAGGGTCCTGGGTTTGATTCTGATCAAGGACACGCACCTTGGTTGCAGGCTCAATCCCTGGCCCTTGTTGGGGAGGCATTTTGCCACTTGTCTATTGAGAAAATAGATGTCTCTCTCACATTGATGTTTCTATCTTTCCCTCTCCTACTTTCTTTAAAAAAATCAATGGAAAATTGAAAATCCTTGGGCGAGGATTAACAACAGCAAACACACACACACACACACACACACACACACACACACACACACAACATAGCAACAGTAATAGCAGTAATGATAGTGTTGCCACATGTGCTGGTGCCTTCCATCAGACTCAAAGATGGCCTTTCCCGTGGCCAACATTATTCAGTGTCACCCTTTGCTAAACACCCACTCCGTCCTGGGTCTCCACTCAGCAGGCTCAGGTCTTCCGCCTGTCTTACAGGTGAGGCTGATCCTGTGCCGGGGCACGAACCCACAGGAGTGCAGGTGCCATCTCATGCCTCCGCTCTGTACAGCCAGAGGAGGGTCAGCCCTCGGGCTCTCCAGCCCGGTCTGCCGACTTCCACACCCGTTGCCCTCCCTGCGTGTCTGAGGTCTCCCAGCAAACCCCCTTTCTGCCGTGTGTCTCCCCAGGGCGTGAACCTGTCCGGGGGCCAGAAGCAGCGCGTGAGCCTGGCCCGGGCCGTGTACTGTGACTCCGACGTCTACCTCTTCGACGACCCGCTGTCGGCGGTGGATGCCCATGTGGGAAAGCACATATTTGAACATGTGATCGGTCCCAAGGGGATGCTGAAGAACAAGGTACCTGCGGAAGGGGCAGGCGCAGGCGCATGACTCGGGGGCTGGCTCTCTTGTGCTTTGGTTGTCGGAATGTGTCTGCTTTGGGACTCCTTCACTTCCCGGCCTTTTTATTTTTTTTTTTATTGGACTTAAGAACACTTTCCTAATGCTTCCCTTGGAACCCTCCCAGGATGGGGGAATTCCTTGGCCCTGACTTGAAGTCTTTGCCTCCACTTGGTCAGAAAAGGCTCCTCTTCCTGACCTAACAGTGAGGGGGCCTTTAGAGGAAGAAATCCCACCCCAAGGTCCCCTGTGGCCGAGCAGGCAGCTCTCCTCCCTTTCCAAAGTGAACTCCGGCCGCGGGGCTGAGGCCTGGGGCAGAAAAACTGCCACAACACCCAACCCCGTGGGGAATGGCTCTGATCCTCGCTTATTATTTTATTTCAGTTTTTAGAGGGAATTTGGGTGTGGGAGTACTGGTTCTTTCTTTTCTTTTTTTTTCCTGATTAAAAAAGTAACATTCCCATGGGAAAAGTATAGACCAGTGGTCGGCAGACTCATTAGTCCACAGAGCCAAATATCAACAGTACAACGATTGAAATTTCTTTTGAGAGCCAAATTTTTTAGATTTAAACTTCTTCTAACGCCACTTCTTCAAAATAGACTGGCCCAGGCCGTAGTATTTTGTGAAAGAGCCACACACAAGGGGCCAAAGAGCTGCATGTGGCTCGAGAGCCGCAGTTTGCCGACCACGAGTATAGGGGATTCAGAAAAACAGGAAAAAGTACAAAGCAATTAGGCATCATCGCACCGCTTAGGGTTTTTGTATTTCTTTCATGTCTTTTTGCTGTGTAGTAAGCGCTTTGATAGGGTTACTATGTTGCTCACATAAGTAGTGAGCATTTTGCCACTTGCCTATTGAAGCATTCCCAGACACATCACAACAAATTCTGTACAGACATAATTTTATTTAAAAAATTGTTATTGAAGTCACACAAAACTAAAGAGTACAAAGAGTGTGTAGAATTTTTTAAATGGTGCTCCCATTTATTCTGCCCCTACTCCTCTCTCAGGGGCGGGGCCTGTCCCTGGCCTGCTCTGTTTCAGTTCAGCCCTTAACATTTTTAAGTTGTTGGAAAACATCTGAGGAAAGATAGTAATTTGGTGGCATGTGACAATGGCGTTGGGTTTAAATGTCAGCGTCTGTGAGTAGAGCAGTTTGGGAGCACCTCAGCCCCTCTGTTTATGCCTGAGCGTGGTTGCCATCCTGCTACCACTTCACAGCCACTCCTTGCCACAGTGGCCGGAGGGCCCATAGAACTGAAAATGTTTACCATCTGGCCCGTTTGTCAATTCAGGTGTTTGATGAGTGTCTTCCCAAACATTCAGGTCATTAGATAAAGATAGACACATTTACAAGTTTTATAGTTGGGGTGTGAGGGGTGTGGGAGTGGGTGGTTACTTTAAAAAAATGAAGCCATTGCATGCAAATGGTTTTGCATCAGAATCCTTTTTGTTGGTAATCCTCAAGGATATTTTCCCATTGATTTTTAGAGCGTGGAAGGGAAATAGGGAGGAGAGAGAGAGAGAGAAAGAGAAACATCCATGTGAGAGAGACACATCCATTGGTTGCCTCTCGAACTCTCCCTCACCAGGGCCAGGACCGACCTACAACCCAAGTACGTGCCTTTGACTGGAAATTGAACCCACAGGCCTTCGGTGCACAGGCCAACACTCTAACCGCTGCTCAGGGCCAGACCCCTTTATTTGTCTGCATGTGCCTGGTTCCCTCCCTCCCTCCCTCCCATCCTTCAGATTTTTCTTCAAAAATAGCCTTTCCCATCACCTTACTAAAATAGCACCACTCATCCCACATCAGTGTGCCGCCCCCGGTGCTGTGTCACCGTCCAGCACCTTATTTTACTCAAGTCGTTCATTTCTCCTCGACCCTGAAATCTGGGGCAGGATCTTTGAGTCCTTCCTGTTACCACCCCCCTCTCACCCCCCCCTCCCCCTGCCCCTGGTACTGGCACAGGTGCCGAATGGAAGCACCCACAATTGTCCCAGGCGCGGGGTGATTCCCTGTGGCACTCGTGTGCCGACTCACCCGCTCTCCGCTTTGCCCGCAGACCCGGCTCCTGGTCACGCATGGCATCAGCTACCTGCCACACGTGGATGTCATCATCGTCATGAGTGGCGGCAAGATCTCCGAGATGGGCTCCTACCAGGAGCTGCTGGCCCGGGACGGGGCCTTCGCCGAGTTCCTGCGCACATACTCCAGCGCTGAGCAGGAGCAGCCGGAGCAGGACGAAGGTGGGGTGGGGTGCTGCCTCCTGCATGGAGGGGCAGTGGGTGGGAGGGACGGGGAAGGGAGGGGCTTCCTTGCAGGGCTCCGGTTGTCCCCTGCAGTTTCCATCAGCCACTGGGCCCCTCCTCAGGGCATCAGGCAGGGGTGGGGCAGGCTCCCTCAGGGACCACCTGGAGGGACCCTTTAGGCTGAGCTGAGAAGGGGTCCCAGTGCTTACGGCCCGGTCAGCAGACCTGGGCGCTAGTCCCGATACTTTCTATGATGGGCTGTGGGCCTCTTGAGCGTCAGGGTCCCTGTGACAAAAATAGGGACAGTGACAATGACAGTCCTCCTGGCTCCCATGAGGCCGAGAAGCGGGGGCATGCGGCTTAACTCAGATGAGGCAAGGTGGTTGAGCATGCAGTCGTGCAGTTGGCAGGACCTCGTTTGAATCCCAGCTGCTGCTCTCACCAGCTGTGTGACCTCAAACCCCTTCCGAGCCTCAGTTTCCCCACTGACAAAGCAGTATAACCGCAGAAGCAGCCTTACAGTGCCAGATGCCGCTTCAGTGTGCCACGGCATGTGAAGCCCGGGCACTGAGTCGTCAGTAAATGGCAGCTGCTGCCTCTCTCTCACCCCCATGCCCTTGGCACCTGCCGGGTCGAGACAGACCTGCCTCCTTCCCAGCCGCTGCTCCCCGTCTCCCCGCCCGGGCCAGGCCTCCGAGCGGGGACAGCCTCGGAGGCACCTTTTGGATTCTGGGCTGGGGCCTCGCCCGTCCTTCCTTGAAGCAGACAGGGCAAGACTTCCAAGAGTCCTGTTCTCCCTTATCGTGCGGTGCAAAGCCAGGGATCGGCTTGCAGCCTTTGCCGGCTGCCCTGTGTCTGGTCGGTCAGACTGGCCGCTCAGGTGAGCCTCCGCTCACCTTGGCCCCGAGCTCCAGCCTGTGAACGCAGAGCCGTCACCCGATGCCTTTCGGCTTTGGTTTCAGCTGCGGCTAAAAAAGAATGAAACTACACAGAGGTCAGCTGCCCTGCCCTGTCTGCTCTTCCAGGAGCTGATTCCAGACTTCCCGAGCCTGTGCCGTGTGTTTACTACACACTAGGTTCCCAAACGGGTCTCCCATAGCCCGTGTTCAGGGGCAGAGTCACAGGGGTGCCACGCACGGCTCCCAGGCAGAGTTGTCTCTGAATGTCTGTGATGTGGAGCATTTCCAGAAGTCATCTTGCTGAATCCTCCTCACTGCTGGTGGGGGAGGTGGAATTACCACTACCTGTTCTCTGGTGAGGGAGCTGGGGCTTAAAGAATCTCGTCCCTTCTATGCCGATGGGTCCCAGGCTTTGTGAAAGGGACTGATCGCTAAGGAAGCTACTGTTTGTTGACTTAGTCATGCAAGAGGTATGAATTGAGCACCTACTCTGTGTCAAGTACTCGTATTGACACACAGTAGGTGCTGAGGCCCTGAGAGAATGTCTGTTCCATGCTTCTCTCCAGCTTCCGGGGTTTGCGTGAAACTCGGGCAGTCCTTGGCTTGTAGAAGCATCACTATTTGCCTTCATCTTCATATGGTGTCTCTAAATTACCCCTTTTTATTCTATTTTTAAAAATATATTTCTATTGGTTTCAGAGAGGAAGGAAGAGGGAAAGAGAGATAGAAACATCAATGATGAGAATCATTAGTCGGCTGCCTCCTGCACTCCCCTCTCTGGGGATGGAGCCTGCAACCTGGGCATGTGCCCTGACCGGGAATTGAACCGTGACCTCCTGGTTCGTAGGTCAGCGCTCAACCACTGAGCCATGTTGGCAGGGCATAAATTTACCCCTTTTTATAAGGACACCACTAATATAGGATCAGGGCTCACCCTAGTGACCTCATCTTAACTAGTGATATCGGCAAAGACCTTGTCTCCAACACAGACACATTCTGAGGTATTTAAGGGGGGTTGGGGGAGGGGACACATAACAGCACTGTCTTAGGTTTTGGAAAAACAGAAGTGAGCAATGATTAGACAAATCCCTGTCCTTATAGCGCTTAATATGTCTAGTGGAAGAGCAAGGCAATAAGCAGATCAACACATACAGGTGGTTTCATGCAGCACTAAGTGCTATGAATTTTAAAAATGCAGAATAACGTGCTGGGATGCGGCAGGTGGTCAGAGAAGCCTTCTGAGGAAGTGACATTGGCGTGGAAAGGAGCCGGCAGGAGATGTGAGGAGCAGTGTTCTGACAGGGAACAGCAAGTGCGAAGGCCTCAGCATTTGTTTGCTCCGTTTTTTTAAGGAACAAAAAGGAGGCCAGTGTGTCCAGACATGGTGGCCAAGGAGTGGGGGTGGGAGGTGAGACTGGGGAGGGGGTCACCCTCTAGCGCGTCAGAGTCAGGAGTCTGGGTTTGGTCTAAATGCGGTGGAAAGCCGCTGAATGTCAGAGAGAGGAAGCAGCTTGCCTGAGGACACCCTGTGGCTGCAGGTGGGATCTCAGGTCTGCTCTCCGAGTTTCCAGGCCTCTGCCCCTTCAGTGGCCTCCAGGTCTGCCTGGGGTAGAAGCTCATCCATCCCTCTGACTTAGAGTTTGCCTCAGAGGTCCTGGTGGTTCTTAATCCATGCTTTATTGAGATATGATTCACATAGCATACCATTCGCCCAGTGAACGTGCACAGTCCGGTAATTGTTATACTCAGAGTTGAGCAGCCCTTACCCAGAGTCAATGTCAGAACATTTTCATCAGCCCTCAAGAAATCCTCGAACCAGTAGCAGTCACTCCCCATCTTCTCCCGGGCGCCCAAGTCCTAGCAACCACGAATCTACTTGCCATCTCTCTGGATTTGTCTCCTCTGGACGTTTCATTTGAGTGGGATTCTGTAACGTGGAGTTTGGGGACTGACTTTCTTCACTTAGCATGATGTTTTCAAGGTTTATCTGTGTGGTAGCATGTCTTAGACTCATTTATTTTCTTTTTTTTAATCATCATCCAAGGATGTTTCCATTGATTTTTGGAGGGAGGGAGGGAGAGAAACATTGGTATGAGAAACATCAATCGGTTGCTTCCTGTACACACCCCGATGGGGGATCAAACCTGCAACTCTGGTGTATGGAAACTGAGCCACCTGGCCAGGTCCAGACTTTATTTTTTTAATTGTTGAATAATATTCCATTGTGTGAACACATCACATCACTTTATTTATCTATGTATTACTTCAACATTTTAAGTTAGTTTCACTCTCTGGCTATTATGAACAGTGCCACTATGCCCTCTAGTTTTAAAAGTAATTTTTATTATTATTTTATTTTTGTGCCAGCATGAGATAGTTGACCCTCCCTTCAGCTTTTAAATTCCCTGGTTGGGATGAGTTTCTACACGTTCATGCTCCTGTGGTTGGAATGTTCTGCTTTAAGTCTAGCCTGTTTTTTTCTTGCTGAAGTCTCCTATCCCTGAGCCCGAGTCAAGCCAAAGTTACATGACGGGTGGAGGCTACTTCGAGATCACTTTATTTCTTTTTTTTTTTTTTTAAATATATTGATTTTTTTACAAAGAGGAAGGGAGAGAGATAGAGAGCTAGAAACATCGATGAAAGAGAAACATCGACCAGCTGCCTCTTGCACAACCCCTACCAGGGATGTACCTGCAACCAATGTTCATGCCTTTGACCGGAATCGAACCTGGGACCTTTCAGTCCGCAGACCGACACGCTACCACTGAGCCAAACCGGCTTCGGCGAGACCACTTTATTTCACCAACCTGCTCGGTGGTTGCAGTTAGGCAAAAAGAACCCTCTGTGCTTTCCAAAGCAGCACATGCTGGTTAAAGGAGTCTTTTCCCCAGAATGAGGTCCGTCTCCGCCTCTCTCCAGTCCTTCCACTCTGTGGCCACAAATGGCTTTTTCCCATTCCTCCCCAGCTGCGGGCATATCCAAAGCAGTTTTGCAGAACATGGAACGCTGCCAATTTATTTTTCCTCCCTCCCCCCCACCCCTCCGTGTGTGTGTGTGTGTGTGTGTGTGTGTGTGTGTGTGTGTCTCTCTCTCTCTCTCTCTCTCTCTCTCTCTCTCTCTCTCTCTCTCTCTCGCACATCAGCTACTATCCATCCCCCTAGCACCACTGTGGGCTCACGTCCCCAGTTCAGTCACCCAGCCTCCTGCCCCTGGGACCCAGAAGTCCTCCGCCCCTGTGTCTAAAATCAAACTGGGCTGCCCCCCTCGCTCCCTCCCTCGCTCGCTCCCTCCCTCGCTCCCTCCCTCCCTGGAAGGCCCAACGATAAGGCTCAGCATCAGGGTCCAGTCTCGCTTAGCCAGCTCCAAGCGCCAGTGACCTTGGATTCGTTTGAACCGCATTCTTGGCTCCACCTAAAGGGAAACTTCTCCCTCGTTGTCTTTTTTAGAACACCCAGGCGTGGGGGGCAGGGGGGTGGTGGAATGTGGTTTTGGGGTTCTTTCTTAATCAGGATAGGGAGGGGGAGATGTAACAGGATCCAGGCTTGTGGGGATAGGAGGAGGGTGGGAGGAGATGTTCCTTCCCAGGAGCATTCATTATGCTAATTTCTAGGAACGTCTTTTTTTTTTTTTTTTTTTTTTTTTTTTTGTGGCAAAGAGGTTTACAAATTGGCTCAAAACCTCTGTACTTGGAAGGTGAAGTACGTTTTTTATTTGCTCTGGTTTCCTCATTAGGAACCTAAAACCAGAGCAGTGGTTTTCACCAGGGAACATTGGACACGTATGGTTGTCACACCTGGGATTGGGGGGTGGGTTCTCCCAGGACCTAGTGGGCAGAGACCAGAGATGCTGCCTAACACCCTGCACACACACACACACACACACACACACAGGCCCTCCCCTGGTTTTCTTGGGAGAAAGACCTTGATTCCAACAGGGTGTCCACTTTTCAGAGCCTTGTCTGAGGTTTCTTTTCCCCCCTATCACAGATGGTTGCTGCTTTTCTTTGTACCGATCATATAATCACCGAGGGCTCGTTGTAGACAATAGCAAACCGCACAGGGAGCCTCCCCCTCCCATGCTCCCACCTCAGAGATGGAGGGGCTGTGCTGGCCTGGGCCTCTTCCCATCAGTTCTCCTGCCCCTCTTCTTCTTATGTATTTTTTCTTTAACATCAGATCATGAGCGCTCCCTGTATTACAGAACTCTATCGCAAAGGCCCAGCAGCCGCTGGAGAGTCCTCAAACCACAAGCACCCTCCTCCCCGCGGCCCTCCGGGCCTATTTCTTCCTCTCCGGAGTGTGAAGGACCTTCGGGGCCCGGTGGAGGGGGCGGTTCGGGGATGCGGCCAGTCACTTCCGTTTTTGGTCAAAAGTGAGGCGTTGATTGTAGAGCAGCGACTCGGATCCTCCCCTGGAGGGAGGCTTGCCCGCTGGCCCTTGCCCAGGCGGAGTTCCAGAACCTTCTTGAGTAAAGGCAGTGTAGCTGGGATAAACAGTGAGCCTGAGAGGTGGCCGCCCTGAGGGCCAGCAGCTGGCTGAGTGCACAGCCCAGGCAGCACACCAGTGGTTCAAGGGCAGGGCCGACCCTGACTTGTCGAAGTCACAGCCCCCGACCTGGTGCTTAGACACACTCAGCGAGCAGTCTCTGAATGACATGTTTCTTGTCTTTGCTTAAAAACAAAACAAGGATCACTATTTCGTGGCATCTTTGGTTTCCCTTCTACCCTGCTTTGTTTTATTTTTTGTAGTATTTTCTTCGTAGTAAATTCTGGATCTGCTATTTTGTTATTGTGTCTCTCTCCCCCCCTTAGCATTTGAGCTCCATGAGGACTATTTGTTCCCTCTGGACGGGGAACAATGACTGTCACGTAGTAGACACTCAGTAAACGTGCTAAGTGAGTGAATGAACTTCCCATGATTGCTGAGGCCATGCCCGGTGTAAGTCTGTATAAGTCTCTGGGCTTTGGACACTGACTCAGCTGCATAAAAAGCCCGGACTTGAAAACAAAATGAGCTGATGTTACCATGTCTCTTAGGGCCGGTTCAGAAGCCGGCTCTGGGGGTCCGGGCTCTGCGATGGCACCACGTTGGCCAACGTGGGGCCCCTCCGGCACTGCAGGGCCAGCCCTGTTTGTCCACGTGGTCGTTCACGTGTTCATCCGTCACTGCTTATCCGGTGGCACGGCGTGCCTGTGGTCTGCCTGGCACTTGAGCCACTGTGTGGCATGGTGCCCCTGGAATTGTGCAGGGCACCTCCTGCGTAAACTCACACGCTATTGGGTGTCCCGGTGCTGGGACAGAGCCGTGGGTAAACCCAGTTCAGCCTACAGTTCGATGGGGAGACACACTAAGTAATGAAGGACATCTTGATGTTAGAGGCAAGCGTGGGAGCCTGTGAGAACCCCGAGAAGGGGTCCCCATCCTAGCCTGGGGGTGATTCCTGAGCCAAGTTACCTTCTCTTCCCCACTTCTCGGCTGCCTGTGCAGCTGGCTCAGAGGAAGGTGTGTTTTGTTTTTTTAAATATATTTTTATTGGTTTCAGAGAGGAAGGGAAAGGGAGAAACATCAGTGGCGAGAATCACTGATTGGCTGCCTCCTGCACACCCCTGGGGGTTGAGCCCACAACCTGAGCATATGCCCTTGACTGGAATTGAACCCAGGACCCTTCAGTCCACAGTCCCGTGCTCTATCCTCTGAGCCAAACTGACTAGGGCTCAGATGAAGATTTTTGAGTCCTGTCGGAACTAAAGGATGTGAGCTGGAGCTGCGGTCTCTGCTGCCTCCCGGCCTCTGCTGCCTCCCTGCTGCCAGGCCCGCCCTGCCTGCCCTGCCCTGCCCACCTGCTGTATTACTTTTCTTCCCCTCCGCTGGAAGGTTAGCCCGCCTTTTCTATGTTTACACTCTCACGGTTAAAGCTTTTAGAGAAAAGGGCTGGCCTCATGCAGTGTGCTTGTCAGGGACCTCCCCTTCCCCTGAACATGTGGGGTGGAGAAACTGAGGCACAAATGCAGCAGGTCCCTCAGCCATCCTTGCCCCTCATCCTTTAGGGAACACACCCATCCACCCCCTCTGGGCATTTAAATGGCAGCTTAGGGAGGGTGTGGCCTCGATTCTTAACCTTTCTTGGATCTTGTGAATTCCCAGGCAACAGAGTGGTGGACGAGGAGGAGGAGGAGGAGGAGGAAGGTCAGTGGCGTGTGGGGTGGAGTTGCCTGTGCTTGCGGCACGAGGCTGTAGACGGACTTGCCCTGCTGCTGCATGCCTGCGCGGGCCCTGGAGCGGCTGCTCTCCCGCCCCTTCCCTTGTTCACCCAGCAAACAGTTACTGGGCACCTGCTCCTTCCGGGCTTTCCGGAGGGGGGTGGGGGGCGCCTGGGATGCAGTTAGTATCTCTGGCTGCTCGTCGGCTGGAAGACCGCCGAGCTTACTGTCACATCAGTCAGGCGACCGTGAGTGACTAGCACACCCTGAAGGAGATCCTGGCTGGGCAAGACCTGCCTGGCAAATGGCAGACGGACGGACCGTGAATGTCAACAGTTTGATCAGGATGGATTATTTAATCATTATGCCACTCATACCTTGTGGGCCGGGCAGGCCGCTGCAGTGCAGGGGATGACCCTGACTGTGAGGCAGGCGGCTGTGGGCGCCCAGCGGAGGGATGCCCTCTTGCCGAATTGCAGCGAGCAAGTGCCCTCCCTGGAGCAGACCCATCCCTCCTGCCTTCCGTGACCGGGTTGTGTGGCTGCAGGTCCAGACAGAGGGCAGCCGCTCAACAACCAGGTGTTGACTGGAAGGACCCAGGTAGCTCAGAAAGCAAAGGCAAGCCCGGACCACAGGACTCCGGAGATGGGAGCGCTGGGACGAGACTCCTTTGGGACAACCAGTGGATCTTTCTTTGGTCCCTGGGGGGCCAGGTCCTGGGAGAGGGGCTCTGATGGGCTGGCCTTAGGCAGCCTCCCCTCCTTGGCTGGGGGCGCCAGGGTTACCCTGATGGATGAGCCTGCCAGGACCACAGGAAGAGGGGGGTGCTCATCCCCTGGGGAGAAGGCAGATGGGACAGTGGGCCCATCCATGTTCACAGTGCCCTTCATGGAGCCTCGGTCCCTCCCCTGGCAGAGGAGAATTCTCTGGCCCCCCCAGTGGCGTATCCCCTGTGGGCTAATTGGGCTGAGGTGGGAGGCAGCCACACGGGGCCACTGTGGGGCTCCTGCCTAGTCTTGGGATGGGTGCTGAGTGAAGAGCAGGAGAGGTGGTTGCAGCTTACAGGGGGCAAGGGGCGGGAGGGTCGGCAGCAGGCAGCACCGCCAGGCTCTCTGAAGCACCGCCCCACAGAACTGTGTCTCAGGGCATGTTTTCAGCATCCCCACCCCTGCGCAGAGGCACATGATCAAAGCTGGGCCTGGGCCGGGGGCTGTGCAGGCACAGGCGCACTGGCTGCATGCGACTGCAAGGACGACCTGCCTGTTACCACGCTTCCTTTTTGTTTGTTTTTTTGTTTGTTTTTTTAAACTAAAATGTCCCCCCATTAAAAACAAAGGCACTGACAAATGTTCGAAGCAGCGACACGTTTAAAGTGCAGGTGGCGAGCACACCGTGGCCTCAGACTTACCGAGAGCCACACTCAGCTCACCCCTTCCTGCCTATGCGGCAGGAGCTGTGTCACTCCCACCCGATAGACGTGTAGGTGAGGCTGAGGGGTGCGTCACTTCCCCTGGACACAAAACCAGGAAGTGAGAGATGGGACAGTGGGCCCATCCATGTTCACAGTGCCCTTCATGGAGCCTCACCCCACCTGCTGTTCTCTGACCCCTGCCCTGGGCGCCCCCGGGGATGCATTCAGAGCCAGGATTGAGAATCAGCGTGGAACTCCCCCACGTCCCAGGAACGAGCCCCAGCTTCTGTCTTCCTTGTCTCCCGCAGCTGTCACCAGAGAGCCGGCCTTTCTGGATGCTGCTTCCGCGCATGTCTCAGCAGCATGCTCCCGGGGTCCCCCTCTTCTGGGGTCGTCCCTGTAGGGCCCTCCCATCGTGCTTGTCTCTTAGGGCATCAGAGGGGAGCTGGGGTGGTCAGTGTCTCGCTGAGTGTTTGGGGAGATGAAAGGGGACGATGTATTCCAGCACAGAACAGCAGCCACCACCCCATTGATAAATGTTAGCATCACGGTTGAGGGTACAGTGATTGGAGCGATGGGTGGGTACCTCCTGGGATTGGGTGGATATCGGCGGGTGCCCATGGTGGCCGTTTCAGTTACTGAAATACTTCCTTATAATTGGGGAAGCCACCGCCCCGGGTACCCCCTACCCCGGACCTTCTGGACCACCTTGTGATTAGGCAGCCAAAGGGTTAACTCCTGGCACCACCAAGTACCCCTGGGACCTGATTGGCTGGTGACTCTGTCAGACCGGGTTGCTATTTATTTTGAGTGTCACCCCTGCTTGGGGACCAGAGGGCTGTGTCTGTCTCCTCGCATCCTGGCCCCACTAGCCAAGCTCCATGCAGCAGGGCTCTGTCAGCTGAACTGGGTTGTACCCATTGCTGCTGGCACAGGGCACCTGCCCAGGCTCAACTCCCTCAGCTAATGGGGCCCTCGCAAAGCATCAGCTAGTAGTTCGCTCCTGCGCCCCACAAGGCAGGTCTTGCTCTTTGAGCTTCCCGGAGGCTAGGCTTTTCTGCCATCTCCGTCCCAAGCGACAGGTTTTCCTCATCTTTGCTTGTGGCATTCGCTTTTGAAACCATGATTACCCCTTCTCTGCACTCTGCCAGGATTAGCAGGCGTGAGCGGTCCGGGGAAAGAGACGAAGCAGATGGAGAATGGCATGGTGGTGACGGACGCTGTCAGGAAGCAACCGCAGAGGTAAGCGCGGTGGGGGAGGCTCCGCATTTCTGCCCGCCGTGGGGCGAGAGGAGGTGCCAGTGGCCTGGCTCCACCCACCAGGAAAGGCCGTCAGCTCTCCGGGGCCGTGGAAGTGGAGGCTTTCTGCCTCCCCGTCCTCTCCCCTTTCCCTCTCCCCCCAAATCCTCCAGAACCTCGTTTCCGGAGCACAGAGGCCTGAAGGGGGAGCCTGGCACTGCTCCCCCAGGTGGCACAATCCACAGGGGCCTTGTGACTTAACCATCAATCTGCACGTCTGACACCCAAGTTCCCTATATGGAGTGGATTTTTGCTCAGTTTGCTCCAAGGGGCCTGGAGTGTTGAGGCTTTAAGAACCAGCATTCAATTAAAATCGGTCACAGTGATAGTCATTGCTGTGTTTCATGCACCATTAGGACCCAGGCACAGTGCCATTAGGACCCCCTACCCCAACCCCGCCCCCGCCTGGTTCCTCGTATCCTGGCCCCATTAGCCAAGCTCCGTGCAGCACAGCCATCCATTGAACATGGAGATAGTTACTGTCATCTTCCCATTTTACAGATGAGCAAACTGAGAGCTCCCTACAGGTTATACAGCTAGAGAGACGCTGAGCTGGGATTTGAGCCCAAGTCCAGCCTCTGAGCCCCTACCCCTAACTTCTACATTTTGCTGCTTTAAAGGAGGTTGCATTTGGGGAAGTGATAGAATATTTGAAGGAGCCTCACTCCGTGGACTTTATTGCTTAACCTCTCTGTGCCTCCGTTTCCTTGGCTGTCACATGGGGTCTGCTGTGTACTTGCTACATAGGATTGCAGTAAGGCTTACCTGATACGGTTCCAGTAAAGCGCCGGGGCCGGTGCCCTGTGCCCCCAGCACTCGGTCGTTTCTGGACGAGTGGGGTTGCCTGCACCTTCTCTTCTGGGGGTGGGGGTGGGGCATTTCACAGAAATGGGGCTGGAAGGAGATTGGCATGAGCAGCTCTGCCCTCAGAACCCTGGCACAGCACCCTCCTGGACTCAGATTTCTCTCACGGACAGGCGGGAGGATTTCCTTCTTTGTCAGTGCTCCTGTTGAGGTGGGGAGCTGGACGCATGTGTGTAAAGCCCTCAGCGCCACGCCCAGAGGCACACAAGGGCCGGGAGGGAGCTGCCAGGTTCAGGCGGGCGGCTGGCATAACCAGTCACGGTGGCTGAAGCAGCCGAGAGGAGGCAGTGCCTGCAGGGGGTCCTGGGAACAGGGGCAGGTGATGGTGTATGCAGACCGGAGAGAGCATGGGCAGACCGAGCAGAAAAACAGGCAGAACACAGAGCATTTGGGGAAGTGATTGAATATTTGGAGGAGCATTTGGGGAAGCGATTGAATATTTGCTGTTGCTACACAGCAGATTACCACAAACATCGTGGTTTGTTATCTCATGGTTTCTGTGTCTTGGGGCCTCCGGATGTGGCTCAGCTGGCTCCTCTGCTCAGCGTCTCTCACAGGCTGTCACTGACGTGTCAGCCAGGATGGGGTCTTATCTGAAGGCTCAGCTGGGACCCGCTTCCTGCAGCTGTTGGCAAGACTCACTCGCTCATTTCCTAACTGATCGCAGGCTGGAGGCCCCCCTTAGCTCCCAGCTCCCAGCACCTCCAGCCCGGGTGTGTGCTTCACCGAGGCAGGCGAACCAGGAAGCAGGAGAGTCGGTTACCAGGACGGGTTACATTCCATCACCTTGGCTCGTGTGGGTCTGAGCCGTGGCTGAGAGAGGGGCGTTCCTGTGTTCTCATGCACGTGTGCGCACGCACGCATGCATACACCCCACGTCATTCCCCAATGCTGTAAGTCCCTAGGCAGCAGGACTGCCTCACAGGGGAGAGAATCCTGGGTCACCTGATTTGTGATGACCTGTGATGGCCTCAAAAGCTGATGACCACTGGTGGCAAGCAAACGCTGTTTGAAGAATGCCTGCGTAGAGGAACACTTCTTTCATGGGGCTCATACTCTCTCTGGGTTCATCTGTAGAATCAGGAGCTTGAACTGGGTCCGTACTGTACTTTGCTGGGGCTGCTGTCCCTGTCCCAGGCCTTCCATTGGCTGACACCCTGCGCCCTGCTTTCCCCAGGCAGCTCAGCAACTCCTCCTCTTACAGCGGGGACACCGACCTGCAGAAGGCTGGGGCCAAGGAGGAGACCTGGAAGATGATGGAGGCCGACAAGGCTCAGACCGGGCAGGTGAGGCTGCTCCCTAAGCGAGGACGCCGGTGGGTGCGTGCGGCTCGCCAGTGTGTGCCGGTCGCCGTGCAGAGGACTTTGTGTTAACGCCTGTCTTCCTCACAGGAGCCTGTAAAAGTATTGTTTTATTTTCTTTTATTTTTTTAAATATTTTTATTGATTTTTCACAAAGAGGAAGAGAAAGGGATAGAGAGTTAGAAACATCGATGAGAGAGAATCATCGATCAGCTGCCTCTTGCACACCCCGCACTGGGGATGTGCCCGTAACCAAGGTACGTGCCCTTGCCCGGAATCGAACCCGGAACCTTTCAGTCCGCAGGCCGACGCTCTATCCACTGAGCCAAACCAGTCCTGGCAAAAGTATTGTTTTAAATGCTGGAAACCGACAGAGGTGGCTGTTGTGTGTCCTCCCCTCTTGCTCTCACTGACCCTCCAGGGAAGTCAGTGAAATGACCCTGAATCGAGTACTTGAGAAAAAGAAGGGCCAGAGCTGCCAGGCCCATTGAATCCCCATTGAAGCCCACACTCCAGAGAAGATGGTCTCGGCACCTCTGCATTTTGTGTTTATGCACAGAGGAAACGGAGACGGGGAGGGGGTGTCAGTTGCCAAAGTGGAACCAGGAGTGGAGCTGGGTCCAGCCCCCCCATCCACTTCTGCCTCGCATGCTCCCACATCCCTCTGCTCGTGAGGAGGGTCCCCGAGCCGCTCGGGGTCATTCAGGGACAGCAGGCAGCGCAGCTGTGAGGAACCAAGGGGTGCAACATGCTCTTTATTCTGACACCCTCTTCCCACTTTGAGTTTGAAGAGCAGAAACGGAAAACAGAAAAAAGGAAGCACTCAGTTATACACTAGAGCTCTGATCCCTCACTGTTATCTTTCAACCAGCCTGTAATTCAGACATGACCTTGATGACCCAAAATCCAGCCTGAAAGGCTTGACAAGTCAGCGAGGCCTTGAGGAAGAAGGCTGGAGCTTATTGAAACCAAGCCCTGCAGGCAGGGCCTGGCCTTGGTCTGCTGTCGATAACCCGGGAGGGGTGGGCGGGAGGGGATGGCAAAGACATGAGCACAGGTGGGGCCTGAACACCGGGTGCGGACGCTGGGTGTGTGTGGCGCATGTGTACCATGCCCCCTTTCCCCGGCTCCAGGTCAAGCTCTCCGTGTACTGGGACTACATGAAGGCCATTGGACTCTTCATCTCCTTCCTGAGCATCTTCCTTTTCCTGTGTAACCACGTCGCCGCCCTGTCCTCCAACTACTGGCTCAGTCTCTGGACCGATGACCCCATCGTCAACGGGACCCAGGAGCACACCAAAGTCCGGCTGGGCGTCTATGGAGCCCTGGGCATCTCTCAAGGTGGGAGCCGCCCCTCTGCACCCTCCCCCACCCCACCTGATTTTTCTGTCTTGTTAGATCCTCACTTCCACCCCCAGCCAAGCCAAACCCGGAGGAACAGAACCTGACACACAGTAAACACTCAGATATTTGTGGAGTGAATGGTTTTTTAATGCCTTGTTTCACCTGGCCCTAGGTAGATAGAGGAGAGCGCCAGTGTGCCCATTTTACAGATGAGGAAAGTTGAGGAAGAGAGTCCACCTGGAGCATTAAGGAGCACGGGCCCTTGCCCCTTGGTGCATCCCTGTACAGTTTCATTCGGGGGCTTTTCCCTGCTGTGTGAGGGTGGGGATTCTTAGCACATGTCGTGTTGGCCCACCCGGGACATTTGGCAATGTCTGGAGAACCTTTTTGGTTGTTACAACTTCTGAGGGTGCCTCTGAAGTTGTGACCAGGGATGTGGTTAAGCATCCTGCACTGCACAGCACAGACCCCACAGAGGAGTTACCCAGTACCGCACATCAGCAGTGAGAGGTTCATAAACCCTGCAGCATACCCTTCTCGTGATCCCATGAGAGTTCCCACGCACAACAGCATTAATACTGACAGCTCGTGTTTACTGAGCACTGATCTGGCGCCTGGTTCTGTTCTAAACACTTTTCTGTGGTTTTACTGGTTTTTCCCTTGCAGCAATCTCATGAGATGGGAGCTAATACTTCCCCTATTTTAGAGATGCAGAAACAGGTCCAGAGGGACTGAGTAAGTTGCCCTAAGTCACATGCTGATAGGTGGCAGAGCTGGCATTGAGTGAGGCAGTCCGGCTCGGAGCCCGTGCTCTTAACCACTCTGCTACATGCTATACAGTACATTAGCTATGTGTTTATGTGCTCATAAAAGCTGTTTATATACACACAGAGTAAATCCAAAGCCTGTGCACATCGTGTGTACAATATACACATATTTGACATTCTTGGGCACTTTTTGTGCACCAAGCACATTGCTGGCTAGGCCCCTTGCAGCTGACATTGCTGTAAGTACTGCTCCATGTTACAGACGGGGAAGCTGAGGTGCACAAAGGTTCAGTGACTTGTGGAAGGCCCCACACCTGGTAGGTGACAGAGACAAGATCGGGCAGTGTTGGCCCTCGAGCCTGTCACTTGAGTCCCGCCTCTGGAAATGGCCTTTCTGCAAAGAACGGGTGCCTTCGGTGGCTTGTTTGGAGGAGCCACCGTCGCCTCTTGAACTCTAGGAGATGGCTCTGGAAAAACCCAGCAGAGCACACATGGATTTCTTACGTTGCTCAGTCCCTGCAATGCCCTCGTATGGCAAAGGACTATGGACTCCAAATTATAATCATAAACAGCACAGAGTGTGACGTTTACCTGGGCCCGCACAGCAGCAGTGTCTGTTCTAGCTGTGCTGTGTTGGTAGGCTTTGGCCATAGGTAGCTATTGAATTTCAATTCATTATATTGAAATAAAAGTAAAAATTCAGCCGTTCTGTGCTCTAGCCTCATTTCGGGGGCTTAGCAGCCACATGTGGCTCATGGCTACTGCATTGGATGGTACAGATGTGTAGAATGTTTCCGTCATCACAGAAGCTCCCATTGGACGAGGCTGATCTAGATGAGTACGGCCTGCAGATTGAGAGCATGAGCGGGAGCAGGTTGCCGGGATTAAACCCAACTCTGCTTCTGATTGGCTGAGACTATTGAAGGTGGAGGAATTCACCCGAGTTTCAGTTTCCTCATCTGTGAAATAGGTAGTTATCTAATTTATGCAGAGCTGTCATTAGGATTAGATACCTGTACAACTTCAGTATGGTGCTTAGCACATAGTAAGTGCTCAATTAATAATAGTCATCATCATCAGTATTATTATGATAAATATTATTAGCTGGGGACCCCGCCCGGCTTCACCCACATAGTCGCATGGCCCCTCGTCCCAGCCCACCCCCCGTTCGGCCCCGCTCCCGTTGTGGAGTCTAACGCGAGGATGTTCGCAGGGATCGCTGTGTTCGGCTACTCCATGGCGCTGTCCATCGGAGGCATCTTCGCCTCCCGCCGCCTGCACCTGAACCTGCTGCACAACGTCCTGTCGTCGCCCATGAGCTTCTTCGAGAGGACGCCCAGCGGCAACCTGGTGAACCGCTTCTCCAAGGAGATGGACACGGTGGACTCCATGATCCCGCAGGTCATCAAGATGTTCATGGGCTCCCTGTTCAACGTCATCGGCGCCTGCATCATCATCCTGCTGGCCACTCCCGTCGCCGCCGTCATCATCCCGCCCCTGGGCCTCATCTACTTCTTCGTCCAGGTGAGAGGCGGGCTGTGCGTGTCTGGAAGGAGCCCCGTGTGTGCCTGGCTCCCGTGAGTGAGCACCGGGCTCGGGCCCTCGCACCTGCTCCCTGCGGAGCAAGGGAGGGGTTGCTGGGGGCGCGGTGGGTGTGGTGTCAAGAGCCTCAGCTCATTGTTTTTAGCTTGTGATGACCAGATGGACTTTTTTTCTAGTAAGTTTTAGTTTTGTAGCTGTAAGTTATAAAAGAAAAAGAAAGTGATAGCTATAAAGATACTTTTATTATTGAAGTTTCCTTAGGAATGTTATGAAATTCTCTAGTCTCTAAGCCCCCTGAAGGTAATGGAGATGTGCATACCAGCAGCTTAAACAAGATAGGGGTGTGTTTTTCTCTCTTGTAATAGAAATACAGAGGCGGCCACGCAGGGCTGGCGTGGCAGTTCCCTGCGTTTGTTGACACCCAGCCCTGTTCCCGTCCGTATTGCAGAAAACAAGCCCAAGGAGGTGGCAGGGGAAGGGGCGTGGGGTAGCCGGGCAGCATCGCTGGTGTCTTAGGCAACTGCAGGCGGGATTGTGTTTCCAGTTGACAGAGGAGCTTGCTGGGGCTCTAATGTCAGAATCGGTGGTGTTTACTCACATCTGTCTGAGTCCAAAGCATGTGCCGGTGATCACAGGGCAGCCTGTCCCTTCTTACCCCTAAAGGTTAGCTGCCGCACAGCCACTGGGGGGTGGGGGTGGAGGGTTAGATGGGAGCTTAGCAACTGCTAACACAATGAGGGTAAGAAATGGTGAAGGGCTCCGTCCTCAAACCGCACTGGAGCCGCTCCTGTGGGGTCCCCAAGGGAGGCCAGCCCCGGGCCCCGCCACACTGGTCAGTGATGGGTGAGGTCACCAAAAATGGCATCTATGGTCAGACCCTGGCTGGAAATGTTCTGGAAAGACCCAATTAAGAAGAACAGAACAGACCAAATGAGGCGTTTGAAGCAGCTCAGACACCTGCCAGGAGCAGGACCTTGAGCACACGATGGAGCGTCTCCATGGCAGAATCCTACGCACCCATGACGGGGAGGATTTGGAAGGCTCTGTCGCAGCACCACGAGTTTTATTTCTGAACTACACAGGAAGTGGATTAGGTAGAGGGTCGTGTTGTTTGCACACGGTCATTTTCACTAACCCCACCCATGTGCTGTGTATCAGAAGCAGATGATTAATATTAGATGGAACCATGTGAAATTTAAGATGAAATGCAAAATGTGTGTGGGCAGGACTGGAAAAGGAGGCAAAAAATATTGCCTGTCTGTGGGTTGGGATTATGGAAGAGGATTTTTTAATGTATATTTTTAGTTAAATAGACACTTATATGTAACCTAGCAATCTCAATCTTGAGTACAGACGGAAAAGAAATGAGCGCACTGGTGGGGCGGCTCAATTAGTTGAGTTGTTGTCCTCCACACCAAAAAGGTTGTAGGGCCGAAACCGGTTTGGCTCAGTGGTAGAGCGTCGGTCTGCGGACTGAAAGGTCCCGGGTTCGATTCCGGTCAAGGGCATGTACATTGGTTGCTGGCACATCCCCGGTTGGGGGTGTGCAGGAGGCAGCTGGTCGATGTTTCTCTCTCATCGACATTTTTAGCTCCTTATCTCTCTCCCTTCCTCTCTGTAAAAAATCAATAAAATATATTTTTAAAAAAAAAGGTTGTAGGTTTGATCCCCGGTCAGGGCATGTACGAGAGGCAACTAACTAACCAATATTTCTCTCTCACATTGATGTTTCTCTCTCTCTCTCTCTCTCTCTTTCTCTCCCTTCTTCTCTCTGAAAACCAATAAAGACATCTTTGGGTGAGGATTAGAAAAAAGAAATGAGAGAATGTGTCCAGCAGGTCCATTAAACCCCCGCAGTCAGTGGCTTCAGAGAGGCTATATGTAACAGAGTTTGGCACTCAGCATCCAAGTGTCTGGGTTCGAATCCCAGCTCTGCCACATCCTAGCCAGCCATGTGATCTCAGGGACGAGGTTGTGCTCAGTTTCCTGATGGTGAGAGAGGAATGAGCGCCTCACAGGTTTGGGGTGAGGATTACATGAGCTGATAGATGTGAAGGTAGTTCATACAAGGCCGCAGAAGGTGGGCTCTGCTAAGTGTCAGCTGTTACATTTGTCATCGCTGCCATGGTTGTTTTTGGCTCTGGGCCAGCAGCTCAGCAGCTGGGTGGAGGCACCTGCCAGGAGCAGCCCAGCTCCAGCATTTGCCTCCTGGGGGCATCATCTGCGTCCAGACTTCCTCCAGCGCAGCCCCGGGCGGCTGGGATGGGGACAGCTTCACTCACCCCCTGTCCATTCTGCGCCCCCAGAGGTTCTACGTGGCCTCCTCCCGGCAGCTGAAGCGCCTCGAGTCCGTCAGCCGCTCCCCGGTTTACTCCCACTTCAACGAGACCTTGCTGGGGGTCAGTGTCATCCGGGCCTTCGGGGAGCAGGAGCGCTTCATCTGCCAGAGTGACCTGAAGGTGGACGAGAACCAGAAGGCCTATTACCCCAGCATCGTGGCCAACAGGTGGGCCCACGGGCCGTGGAGGGGAGGCGGGTGTGGGGAGCCGCCATAGTTCCTGGAGGAGGGTGTGAAGCCAAACTCGGACCCTCCCAGAGGGAATGGTTCCACTTGGCGAGGACAGAATAACGGTTAAAAGCAGACAGGGAACACCGGGAGCTCCAGCACTCGGGGGCATTGAAGGACAGGGACAGAGAGTTCTTCTGGAGCCAGAGAATCCTACAGAACCTGCCCTTTAACTGTCATCCTGGGGGCACGGAGCATCCGTGGGGGCAGACTCAGCTGTTATTTTCCTACCATAGTGTCAAGCTGAAAGGCGACCAACCCCACCCCCATGATGTGTACCAGAAGCAAATTATGAATATTAAGTCAAACCAGGTGGAATTGCCATTTAGGGTATGAAGAATGGTGGAATTGCATTAGTCACAAAAAGAAAAAGATTGATGAACAAGAATAGATCCAGAGACAGGGGCGGGGGGATAGAGAGCAACCAAAGGACTTCTTTGCATGCATAGTAGCATAACCAATGGACACAGACCTGGGGCAGTGTGTGGGCTTGCCCAGGGTGGGAATGGCTGTGGGTGGGGTGTCAATTGGGGAAAAAGGAGACATATGTAAAGCTTTAGACAATGAATAAATAAATAATTTCTACTAAAAAAAAAAGAAAAGAAAAAGAAGTTTGCTAACTTTTTATTATTTTATATGTATAATTCTTTTTAGAGATAGAAGAAGGGAGGGGAGAGAGAGAGAGAGATCATCAGCTGCCTTCTGTGCGCCCTCTACCCGGGCATGTGCCCTGACCCAGAATCGAACCAGCATTTTTGTGGTGCACAGGACAATGCCCAACCAACTGAGCCACACTGGCCAGGGCGAAGTTTGCTAATTATCTAGAAATCATAATTTAGAAAAGTTTCTGCTTTATCTCTAAAGTATTCTTCTCACTCAGTTGCATTCTGATACAGTTTTTGAGATGAAGGGTAAGAAAACACTGGGACACGGGTAACAGCATCCTGGAAGAGACCAATTAAAACCAACTGCCAGCCCACCGTGTACAACATGAGCCTACATCGTAAGGCTGGTGGGAGCCCGGGAGGTACTGGAGACCTCGCCTCCCCTTGCAGAACTTTCAGGAGGTTGTCACTATGCCCGTCTGTCTGTGGGAGTGGCTCACCCCCAAGATCAGCCACGTGCGTCTAAGAGCTGTAGTGGGAAAAGGGTGAACCCACCTCCCTAGAATGCTTTACGTGTTGAAACATTAAAATAATATTCCTAATGCCGTGTGATATCTCACAAAAGTCATCTTCAAACCATTAAGATGTCTGTTTACATTTTAAAAAGTAAAATGCATTTTAGTGTTTCCGAGATGAGAGTGATCTGGATCTGGGAACACTTACAGCTACACTGAGAATAGTGTGTGTTTTATCACCACCCTTTTCCCTGCCAAGAGAAGGTTATCTTATTAAAATATATTTTTATTGATTTCAGAGGGGAAGGGAGAGGGATACAGAAATAGGAAACATCAAGGATGAGAGAGAGTCATTGATTGGCTGCTCCTGCACACCCCCTACTAGGGATCGAGCCCACAAACCAGGCACGTGCTCTGAGAATCGAAACATGACCTCTGGTTCATAGGTTGGTGCCCAACCACTGAGCTACTGCCAGTCAAGAGAAGGTTATTTTAAATCAGTGGTGCCTCTTATAGTCAATGACTTAGGGCTTATTAATTTTTCAGGATATCTTTTTTAAAAAAACACACACATGGCCATTTTTGTGAGAAAAAGTTGGTTCTTAAAAAAGCAAGCTTCAGTTTCCTGGAAAGATTGTTTACGGAGAACTGTCTTAATCCCTGGGGTTGCTGAATGAGTAAGGAATTACTGGAATTGTGTCCCTTTGGTCCTCCTTTCCCCCGTGTCCTAGGAGTGGGGCAGACAAGGCCTCTCTCAGAACTATCAGGGATTATATTAGTGACGTTCCACTCCTAATCCCACGCCCAGAACCAGAAACCAAGTCTCTAAAAAAGCTGACGCTGGGTGTGTGTGTGTCCTGTCTGCCTGTGTGTCTCATGCAGGTGGCTGGCTGTGCGGCTGGAGTGTGTGGGCAACTGCATTGTCCTGTTTGCAACCCTGTTTGCAGTGATCTCCCGGAACAGCCTCAGCCCCGGCCTGGTGGGCCTCTCAATATCTTACTCGTTACAGGTAAGAGGGGGTGCTCTTGCTGAACCTCCCTTTCCTCTGAATGGGAGAGCCAGTTGTCTTTGTTTTGGGTCCAATGGGAATGCAGGAGAGCGGAGGGGCTGAATGGAATTTGAAGAGAATGTCTACAGCTCCGTGACTGACTGGAGCAGGAGAGAAATTAGACACGTGGGCTGGATGCCTCCAACTGCAAGAGAAATGCTTATAACACTACTAGAGGCACCAAATTTGTGCACTCAGGGCACGGGTCCCTCAGCCGGGAGCCCTCGGGGGGATGTCCAACTGCTGGCTTAGCTCCGCTGCGCTTGCCAGCCACGAGCCCTGCTCAGGGTTTCTGGCTGAGCAGCACTCCTCCTGCAGGAGCGCACTGATCACCAGGGGCAGCTCCTGCATTGAGTGTCTGCCCCCTGGTGGTCAGTGTGCATCATAGCGACCGGTCATTCCACCAAACTACATATTAGTCTTTTATTATATAAGATAAATTTCCTTCGAAGCCCTGCTTTAGCTGCATTTCCCAAATTTTGATATATTGCATTTTCCTATTACCGTACCTATTTCAAAATATAGTCTCATTTCCTTTCCGATTACCAGTGTGGTCATGGGTGATTTTGAAATGTGCTTGCTTAAGAGATGCAGTGGAGCAAGACTGTGTGAAGGCTCTGTGTGGTGCTGTTTTCTGTACCTTTCTTATCTGAACTATTTCACAACTCATAATTCCCTAAAATAAAGCACCTCAAGCTCACTGTAGGTGCTCCATGTGACTCTTCCACTCGCAGGTCACCACCTACCTCAACTGGCTTGTTCGGATGTCGTCGGAGATGGAGACCAACATTGTGGCTGTGGAGAGACTCAAGGAGTATTCAGAGACTGAAAAGGAGGTAGAGCAAGCCCCTGCCCTGACCTTTTGAACTTGATCTTCAGTGTGGCCTTAACGAACCTCTGAGCCAAACCATGTGTGCCCACAGCAGGCAACCTCTGTCTGACACACTGTTAGGAATTTTTATGGGGGGCTTCTGTTATGGGAAAAGAGACTAGTTTCCTTTCGCTCCTGAAAAATGAGTCAATACTAAGTCACCAACTGTTAGAGGCACCACTGATTTAAATAAGTTTTAAAATTAAACACAAATGAGTAGATTAAAAGTATTCAAATGCAATAACAAGAATGAGTACACGCATATTATAAAAATCATATACCGGTAAGGAATTGACCCAATTGGATAATCCTGCAGTTACTGTTTCAGATGGAGAAAGGGGAGCCTAGGGAGAGATGTTGGCTGGTTCAAGGTCATATATGATCGCTAGGACCCAAGTCTCTAGACTTCAGTGCCACGTTGCTCTTAATGACTGCCTTATTCTGTCTACACACCACTACCAAGGGTAGCAGTGATGATAATGACAGTAACAGTAATGCTTGGTGATGCCACTCTCGCCGTTAACACCAATAGTAATAACAGGGACATACATTATGCCCTTGTGGAGGTGTCAGGCCCTGTCTTAAACATTTCACATAGACTAATTCATATCTTCACTGCACAGCCTTATAACTCACATTCTATTTTTACTTCCATTTTACAGGTGAGAAAACTGAGACACAGAGAGGTTAAGTAACGTGCCTAAGACACAAACTGGTAAATCGCAGACCTGGGATTCGGGTCTTTGCCGTTGTGCCACACTTGCCTCCCAAGAAAATGCCCCTTGGGAGCGAGATCAGGCTGCCCCCGTTAAAATCTATGTTAGAGGCTTTGCAAAGGTGACCTATGACCTCAGATTTTTAATGCTCTGAAATGGTGAACTCTAGGTTCCATTTCATCAGAGGCTTCAGCCAGAATGGTATGAGTGACCCCTGTGGAAATAAGAGTGTATTACACCAGGACTTTCCATCCAACATTGAACTTATTATTTATTTAATCATCCCCCAAGATATGTTCGTTTGTTTTCAGACAGAGAAGAGAGGCAAGAGGGAGAAATATCAATGTTGAGAGGGAAACATCGATCTGCTGTCTCCTGCACAGGGATCCAGCCTGTAACCTGGGTATGTGCTCCAACTCACTGAGCCACCCAGCCAGGGCTGAAGTAATTAAGTAACTTACTAATTAATTAATTAATTAATTAGTACTTTTTATTGGTTTTTAGAGGGAGGGGGAAGGAAAGGGAGAGAGAAATAGAAACATGCTGTCATTAATTGTCTGCCTCCTGCACACCCCCTGCTGGGGCTGGAGCCTGTAGCCTGGGCGTGTGCCTTGACCTCGAATTGAACCAGTGACCTCTTGGTGCATGGGTCAGTGCTCAACCACTGAGCCACACCAGGCAGGCTGAGTTTATTTTTTTACAACAGCTTTAAGAGAGAACTCACACTCCATGAAATGCATCCTCGTAAAGTGAAATTTATTTTATTTTACAAAAATATTTTACTACTTTCATTCTATATTTTTAGAATAAGAACATATTTGAAAAATACAAAAGGAAGTCGAGATCGCTCAGAGTCCCACCACTATTATGATATATATATATATATGTTTGTTAATTGTGTATATAGTATGTATAAATATAAATAAATACATTATAAGTAATATATATTCATGTTAGAAAGTTCCACCCACTTCTCTTCAGTTGCTTCCATGTTTTTATAGCATGTCCTTTTTATTTATATACGTAAATTATTATAAGAGGGATTTTTTTGTTTGTGGGGAAGAAAGGCTGAAAGTTATCTTTCATTGTTCTCCCTGTTCCTCTCTTTCCCTGAAGTTAGCCCCTAGGCTGGCCTGGAGCATGTCCTGTTGTAAATCTCAGGAAATGCTGTACTGGACTAAAGAAACTTTTCAGAAATAGGGGCTGTGTGACACGGGGCAAGTTATTATCCTGTCTGTGTCTCAGTTTTCTTGTGTGTACATGGGATGATGAAAGGACCCCATATATGGGGCTGTAGTGAGGATTAAATGAGATAATGTGACAGTGTGTTGTTTCAGTCGTCCCTGCCACTTTTATTGCTGCAGTTCAAACCTAGAAGGCAGTCGGCCTTGTGTCTGTTCAGAGAAGACCACTTTGATTCAGTCCATACATACTTATTGAGCACCTACTATGTGCTCTGGGCCCTGGGATAGAACAGTGAACGAACAGTACTAGCACAAGAACCTGTCCTCAGAGAGAGGATATTCCAGTAGGCATGGGTGACACAATGAGAAGTGCTCTGGAGGAGAATGAAGCAGGGGAGAGGACAGAGGGGTGCAGGGCCAGGAGGGTGGTCTGACTTGCTCTGAGATCTGCGGGATGTGGGGTAGCAGGCCGAGTAGGTAGCTTGTGGAAGGGCATTCCAGGCAGAGGAAGCCGCAAATGCAAAGGCCTGGAGAAATCACCCTCAAGTCAGTGTGGGGAGCGGAGTGAACGTGAGAGAGGGAGGTGAGGTAATGGGGGTTGCAGAGGCCGCTCACAGAGAGCCTTGGGGCCCGTGAGATGGACCTCAGATTCCTTATTTGCCCCCCTCCTCCCCCACCCGTTGCAGGCTCCCTGGCGGCTCCAGGAGATGACTCCGGCCAGCACCTGGCCCCAGGTGGGCCGTGTGGAATTCCGGGACTACAGCCTGCGTTACCGAGAGGACCTGGACATGGTTCTCAAGCACATCAACATCACCATCGAAGGAGGTGAAAAGGTGGGCGCGCACTGTTCTCCCACCCGCTCACAGTCTGCGCAGGTTGTGATCGGGCTCATGAAACCGGCTGTCATTTCCGCAGTGCGTCCCAGCCCACACCTGAGGGTTTGACTGTGCGAACAGGGTTCCGCGGGGTTGCACACTGGTAGCCTGAGGGCCAAATGAGGTCCACGGAGAGGTTTTCAAAAAAAAATCTGGATAAGTTGCAAATACTGAAAAATCTGGAACTTTTCCAATAAAAATCAATGTCCTGCTTTTCTCGAAAGATCACGGCATCTGGCAACACTGGGCTCATACTCCCCACCTGGCTCTTGGTAGGCAAGATGGGAGCCTCCCTGTTCACTCGGTCCCTCCCCACCCCATTCAGGCGCCTACATGGATCCTGAGGGCATTGAGTTTGGGATCTCCAAGGTAGAAGGATGTCTCCGTCACTGCTAGGGATGGCTCGGGGCATGTGGAATTGTCGGGATTTTGGAACCTCGCCTTGGTCCCACTCTGTTCCTGGAAGGTGTCCTTCCCCTCAGACCCTCAGGTTCTCCTCAGCATCAGACCATGGCCTTCCTGGCCATTTTCTGGGGGACAGTGCTGCTTTCATCTCTGAACTTATGGACTTGTTACACGGTCCCTTCCGCCAGGCTCAGGATGTTCTGTTCCCGTAAGATAAGTTCTCTAATTCATGGCTCGGTGGCTGAGCGTCGCCGAGGAAAGAACAGAGGGGGCCATGTCCTCACCAGGCTTTGTGTGTTGTATCATGAGAGGCTGCTCTGTGGCATCGCCGTGGGCAGCAGCGGAAACCCAACTCTCAGGAGCCCAGGTGAAGGGAGGGACAGTCACCCTTGGCCATTCCATGGGAGCCCAGTTCCCTCACGAGAGGATAAGTGAAGACCAGGCCACATCCACAACCTCGTTTTGCTCCCACAGCTGGGATGGAGAGGAGATGTGTGTGTGTGTGTGTGTGTGTGTGTGTGTGTGTGTGTGTGTGGAGGGGTGGGGTAGGGGTTCTTGAATATTTGAACTGTTTCAACAACTTGGACGGGAAACTCACCATCTCAAGAACTGGGAAAATTAGTGTGAGGGACCCTAGCTGGTATGGCTCATTGGTTAGAGTGTTGGCCCCTGGACTGAAGGGTCATGGGTTCAATTTCCAGTCAAGGGCACATACCTTGGTTGCAGGTTTGATCCCAGGCCCCAATTGGGGCATGTGCAGGAGGCAGCCAATCGGTGTCTCTCTCTCATATCTCTCGTTCTCTCATCTTCTCTCTCTCTCTGTCTCTCTCTCTCTGTCTCTCCCCTCCCTCCCTCTCTCCCCTCCCCTTCCCTTCCACCTTTCTCAAAATCAATGAAAAAAAATATCCTGGGGTGAGGATTAACAACAACAGCAAAAAAAGAAAAAAGAACAGTGTGAGGGAAATAACCTGATTATTACTTTATTATATCATCTTGAGTTGAAAATAATAGGGCCTATTTAAAATCCCTCCCTGTCTGATGCCTGGGTCTTTGGAGGTCTAGTAGCTTAAAAAAGGAGCTAATTATAATTTTAACTTCCATGAAAAGTCGACAACAGCCCCTAAAGGAGCGCCTCTAGGACGCTGGAGCGGAGAGGCTGTGGTGGGAGTGGGTTGACCAGATGACTGAACTGCTCTGGGGCAGCTATCTGGCACGAGGGTATTCTGAGACAGGAGGTATCCGCCAGAGAGCAGCATCCTCACCTCACACTGGTCCTTCCTGTCCCCCAGGTTGGCATCGTGGGGCGGACGGGAGCCGGGAAGTCATCCCTGACCCTGGGCTTGTTTCGGATCAAGGAGTGTTCCGAAGGAGAGATCATTATTGACGACGTCAACATCGCCAAAATCGGCCTGCACGATCTCCGCTTCAAGATCACCATCATCCCCCAGGTGGGTCTGTGTGAGGCCCCGGAGCGCTGGGTGCCACTGAAGGCAATGCGTGCCTGTCTTCAGTGTTCCTACTTTATTACTCTACTAAAACTATGCTAGGTCGCTCCTCCACTGAATCTCCTCTTAGCATGTAAATAGCAGTGGGAGTTAACCAGGTGTCCTCCCTGCACTTTGCCACCCAGAGCAGCTAACGGGATGCGTAGGCTCTGGCTTCCTGCTGGCTGTCAGTCAGGACAAGCCTCTCTTACCCTTCCCAGAGTGAAATGAGAAGAATATTCTGGCCCCGCTGGCGTGGCTCAGTGGTTGAGCCTCGATCTATGAACCAAGAGGTCCTGGTTAGATTTCCAGTCAGGGCACATGCCCCGGTTGCAGGCTCCATCCCCAGTTGGGGGTGTGCAGGAGATAGCCGATCAATGATTCTCTTTCCTCATTGATGTTCCTCTCTCTTTCTTCCTTCCTCTCTGAAATCAATGAAAATATATGTTAAAAAATACTACAGATGTGGTTTTTTAAAAAAACAATTTCTAGACTGATTCCTCAAGTTGCCGATTCCCTAATATGATGATTTTTAATGTTATTTTTCCTGAAATTTCTTCTAAGATTTTTTTTTGGAGGCAGGGAATGGAGAGGAATCGACAGTACTTGACGATTAGGAATTAACCATGTCACATCTTTCTGGAAGGTTCCTGACACATTTGCATATTGAAGGTTCCGGGAAGCTTTATATAAAAAAAAAAAGTAATCTGTTTTATTTCATCTAACACAGAGATTTCCAGATTTCCCCCGTTATTAATATCTCTAGATATAGTGATTCTGAGGAACTCGCATGCCCAATCGCGAACAATTCTGACAAGAACTCCCTGTGTCCCACCTCTGTCCCATCCACGTCCCGATGACGGTGAGCCTCACGTCCTGCCCGCTGTCTTCTCTCTGGACAGGACCCCATCTTGTTTTCGGGGTCTCTTCGCATGAACCTGGACCCGTTCAGCCAGTACTCGGACGAAGAGGTCTGGACGTCGCTGGAGCTGGCTCACCTGAAGAACTTCGTGTCCGCGCTTCCCGACAAGCTGAACCACGAGTGCACGGAGGGCGGGGAGAACCTGAGGTGGGTTGGTCGGGGGCCGGCGGGGCCTCCTCGGCTTCCCCTCGGTCACTCCGTCCTTTGGCACCTGTGTCCGATGCAGGTGTGAGTCCCAGCTCTGCCACACGGGAGCCTTTTGTTTCTTAGAGGAGCCTCGGTTTCAGTTATCTATGAAGTGGGTTCCGGCCAGGTTTCAGGACGGCTCACTCGTGGCTGGGGGTCCACTGCCATTGGCTGATCTGATTGGCTTCCATCAGGGTAGTTCATGTCCCTCAGCCTCCAGCAGACCAGCCCAGGCGCGTCTTCATGGTGATGGCAGAGACACAAACCCTGGCGTGTTATTTCCATGTCAAGCTTCTGCTGACCTTATACTTGCCGTCACCCCATTGGCCAAAGCAAGGCACATGGTTGAATCCAGAGTCAGTAGTGAGGGCCTGGATATGGGGCCCCTTTTGCTGCCTATCACACTCCCAATGCTGAACATGTCAAGTGTTGGAGTATTCCCCCGAGCCTTGTGCCGAGAATGGCCCCGAGCTCGCTTCCGTGACAGGAAGAACGTCGCGATGGACTAGTGATGCCTGCCTTCGGCACGGGTGCAGGAGCGGACCCTCTCCTGCCCCGAGCAGCACCGAGTCTCTTCTCCCTCCTCCCAGCGCAGGCCAGGGCTCAGGCTCAGGGGTGGTTGTGACGCTCTTTGTCTCCCCGTGTTTTTCTCTTGGTCAAGTGTTGGGCAGCGCCAGCTCGTGTGCCTGGCCCGGGCCTTGCTGAGGAAGACGAAGATCCTGGTGTTGGATGAGGCCACGGCGGCCGTGGACCTAGAAACCGATGACCTCATTCAGTCCACCATCCGAACACAGTTCGAAGATTGTACTGTCCTCACCATCGCTCACCGTCTCAACACCATCATGGACTACACCAGGTGAAGGCTCTGGCACAGAAGGCCTCTAGGCCTCGGTGCTCACCTCACTCACTCATTCACTCATTCATTCAACACTGTGCTATGCATAGGGACAGCCCCAGTTGGTGGGACCTCGCTTTATCCAGGGTAGTACCAGGTATTTTTGACGTCACTTAGTCATTTATTCTGTCATCACATGTGCAGTGCCTGCCACAAAGCCGGCCCTGTCCCAGGTACAGGGGACTCGGCAGGAAGCCTGGCTGAGGGACCTTATAGATGAGCTGGGGGCTGGGTGCAGGGACCGATAATAATCACGGCAATAAATTAAAAGCAAGTTGTGCTGGGAAGGAAACAGAGCAGGTGATAGCGAGTGTCGTGGGTAGCATCACAGGACATTGCCTAGGAATAGGGCTTGAGAAGGGGTAACCAGTTGGAAGGCTACTGCAGCAGTCCTAACAGAGGTGAGGGGCCGGACCCAGAGCCGGGATCTGCCACGCTGGGCTCTCTCGGGCCTGAGGTGCCAACCCCTCCTACCACTCACGTCTGCGCGCCCTCCCCTTGCAGGGTGATCGTCCTGGACAAAGGAGAGATCCGGGAGTGCGGCGCCCCCTCCGAGCTCCTGCAGCAGAGAGGCCTGTTCCACAGCATGGCCAAAGACGCCGGCCTGGTGTAAGCCTGGCGCGGGAGCGTCTGGTTGGACCGCACGGCCCTCAGGCCTTGGCCAGGATGAGTCGGCCTCTCTGGGAACCCAAGCATCCCATATACTGAAACCAAAAAAGGAAAGAAAACCAAACCCAATAAGACAAAACCACAAAGCAGCCACCCTCCGGTCCGCCGCCTGGAATTGGCTGTGAGGAAGCAGGGGGGACACGGAGGCAGCCCGCCAAAGACACGCACAGCCTCGCCTGGGCCCCCGCAGGACGCACCGGCCACGCACAGCCCGGGAGGGCCCGCTCGTGCCCTTGGTGCTCCCCGGGGCGGTTTGGCAGCCAGACCTCCCGAGAAACCGGTTGCTTAAAACATGCTAGTGACCAAAGCCAGCCAACTGCCTCAAAGCTCTGTAGCCAAAGTCTGGGATTCCGAGTCCTCGGCCCCGGCTGCCGTCCCGGCACCTCTACCATCTGGGCTCCACCCAGAACGCCTCGTCTCCTTGGGGCTGCTGTTTGGAGGTGCGGGGCCTGGTGAAGATCATCCTCACCCTCAGGTGGTGTCCTGGGGGCCAGTGGACACTCCTCTCACCATCCATCCCGTCTTCTGGGCGCCCGGACACACAGCCGGCGTCCCAGCGCAGACCAGAGGCCGCCTCATCACCCACGGGCTTCTCGCTGGCAAGACGGGCTGGACCTGGGGATCCTCTCTCAGTACCAGTTTCCCACACTCCTTTATTCACTCCGGCCTTTTCTCTGCCTTTCCTACTGCCGCCTCCTGCCAGTTGCTAGAACGGATTACCTTGAGGCACCTGGAAGAGGTTTGCTCGTGGTTATAAAGGGTTCAAAGCCAGGAGCACTGGGCACCGCTGTGGATGGCCAGCGGGTACTGAATCGAGCTCCGTTGAGACTTCTCCTCGTATCTAGATTTCAGTTCCTCCTAGCTGTCGGAGGTGGCAGTGTGGAGATCCGGACGTGTAGTTATTGAGTATGTTCCAGGACAAGGAAAGAACCCATTCACGAATATCAGTGATTTTTTTTTTTTTTTTTTTTTAAGTACTGCTCCAGGGAGAAACACTGTCTCAACTTGAATTTCTTGGGCGGCAGTGTTGGGCCGGGAGCAGCTCTCCCAGGGAAAGCCACGGTGACAGGCATCCGATGGCGGGCCTGCCGGCTCCCAAAGAAAAAGCGGAGTGGAGCCTCCAGGGCCCACCCTCGAAGGCTCGGAGACCCGGGAAGACCCACAGAGCAGAGGCCAGTGCTGCCCCGAGATTCCCTTGCCGACTTCAAATCCAGAAAAGCATCTTCCTTTAGGTCGAAAAATATATTTATTTTTTTGTAAGTTATACCCTTCTTTCACATTAGATAAACCAAGTTTTTCTTGGGGATCGTTTTTGTAATGACTTACACTGGAAAACGAGGACATTTACAAGCAATTTGCAGTAAAAAAAAAAAAAAAAAATTCTTTCTAATGACGATTCCATTTTCTTTGGGGTTTCAGCCCTCTCCTCTGGGAGTCAGCATGAGGCTCCCCTCTCGTCTGATTTCCTTCTTTCCTGTTGGCAAACATGCCGTCGCTCGTGGGAGCCCCTGTCGGGAATGGGAGCCTAGAGGTTAAGAACTGTGCGGGGTAGAGTGGGGAGTGAGCGTGGACAGAGCCTGGGCTCTGGGGTCAGACAAACCTGGCCTGAGTCCTGTCTTTGTCATTTGCTGGCTGTGTGACCCTGGGCAAGTCACTTCGTCTCTGTTGCCTCGTCTGTAAAGCGGAGCTGATCACACCTGCACGATGGGATGGTTGTGAAGATGAGCAGTGATGTGTGTGTGGCCCGGGTGGGGTTCTAAGACAAAAATCACGTGGCCTCCATTGCCCCGGAACATCCCTTTGTATTAGGCCAGGAAGATAGTTTAGGCTGCAACCGTAAACTCATGGGAGATAAACCCAAGGCTTCTATTTCTTGCTCATCCACTTCCTGGTGAGGGTCAGGCACCCCTGCAGGGTCACTCCCTGCCAGGCAGCGACCATGAGAGCCAGGCTGCTCTGGGCTTTTGACACGGCTTCTCAGGAGCCGGCTTCCAGCTCACCATAGAAGGGAGAAAGTGGATGACTCGCACCCACCCGTAAGTGTCTCAGGCCAGAAACGAAGTAAAGGATTACGCAGGTACGACCAGCTCCACGTGTGGCTTCCCGGGATGTGCATGTTCCCCGCCAGCCAGGCTCTGCCGGCAGGAGCCACGGCGGGGGATTAGTGGCCTGGGTGGCCTGCAGGCCGGTCCCCACAGCAAGGCTGTAGGCCAGCAGCAGCCTTGTCAGCAGGCTTGTGGGCGCTGGTTCCTGTGGCCCACACTCTGCCCCCGGCAGACCATCACCTTCTGCGAAAGTAGGCTTTTGTGACCCTGGATGATCCCAAGTGAGTCTGCCAAACACGCAGCTGCCGCTGCCGCCTTTGCCTGTGGCTGCTCTGCCGGGCCGTCCGGTGGCTCAGCTCCCGGCAGAGCACCGAGAAGCACAACGCCGGGTCCCTTTCCGTGCCTCCAAGTTGGAGAGACCAGCCCACATGATGACTTGGGCTTTGGTGTGAGATGGCCCCCGGGGCAGATCCCCTCTCCCCCATTTACTGACTGAGTGGCAGAGCAGGCCCTCAGACACAACAATGACCATCATGACGCTTACTGAGCACTTAATATTGTGCCCAACTCTGCTCTGCACCCGTCACTGTGTGTTAGCTTCCTCTCTCCCTGCAGCAATGCCATGAGGCCCGTGAGGAGCCAGGGCTGTCTCATTGCTCTCGTGGCTTAGCTGGGTCTGGGGAACCTCGGAGTTGGCTACTTGAGAGTCGAGCCCCCTTTCCCGGTGCCTGAAGGCAGTTGTAAGAGCCCTGCATTAGGATTCCGACTGCTGTCTGAAACAGGCCTGATCACATGCAGGTGCTGCCCTTCGCCACCCTGACCTCTGACCTCTGACCTCTGACCCACAGCAGCATTTCCCACATGGCCTTCTCGGGGAAGTGTGAACAGAAACACCCGTGATGTTCTGACCGCTTCTGCTGGAATTTGGTCTTTCACAAGCAGATGTATGACAGGTGCTGAGTCCTGAGCGTTTCCCCTCAGGACTTCTTAAGAAGTCCCGGCCCCTCTCTTGCCTTCGGAGCTGGAACTGTGTGCTGGTGTGCACATGCTTGTGCCCAGAGGGGCCCCATCGTGCTGTGGGATGGGGTGTGGGTTGTGGCTTGCATGTCCAATTCAGACCAGATGCTTTTGGAGTTCGTGTACAATGGTGGGAGGAGCAGAAGGAGCCATGGGGTTCAGTTCTGTGCATGTTGGGATCATATGGGGAGCTTTAAAAATACACAGTGTGCCAAAAGGGAGAACATCACAGAGGCAGGAGGGAGGGGTGTGGTCACAGAACGGCAGCTCCAGGGGTCGTTGTGGTGATGGAGGTGGTGGTGGATGCCACCTATACGTGTGATACAGTTGTGTAGAAGACACACACACACACACACACACACACACACACACACACACGTACTAGTACAGTGGGAAATGTCAATATCCTGGTTGTGATACCACACTAGCGTTGTTCAAGGTGTTACTTTTAGGGGAAATGGAAAAGGGTGCACAGGCATTCTGTGGATTGTTTCTTAAAACTGCTGGTCACTCTACACTCATCTCAAAATAAAAGGGTTACTTTGGGAAAGTACACACACCATTCCCTGCCACAGGGTTAGTGATTTCATTGGTCTGTGGTAGAGACTGGGTGTGGGCAGGTCTTGAGTCCCCAGGTGGGTCCCATGGGCAGCCAGGGCCGAGAGCCACTGCCCACTTCAGCTCCGGGATGGACGAGGCTGGATGGACTCTGGCCGTGCCGTCCTTGGGGGTTGCTGCATCCTCCTGGGTCTGTGACGATCGTCCGCTTTCCCGGAGAGCAGGGGGGTCTGGACTCCGCTGATGACCCCAGGTCACTGGTCTCTCCAGGGCATGGCACGTCTTTCCGGGTTGGCGTGGCGGGAGGGTTGAGGGGTCTGGCTCAGACCATGCCAGACTCCTGTGCCAGCCTATAGAACAGGCCCTTCTGGGCCAGCAGCTGGGTGGGGCTGCCGCTCTCTGCCACCTGCCCCTTGTCCATGACCAGCACCCTGCAGGGGGGAGAGAGAGGGGCAGCTCCTTGGACACCAGCCTGGCCCCTGGGCCGCTCGGAGAGCCCAGCATGCCTGCTCTGAGGTTTGCTCCCCAGAAGTGTGGCCTTCTGTGTGGTTTTCTGGATGTAAGCATCTACTGGGCATCTGTCCTTGGGCTCATCTCTTCCCCTTTGGGCGCCAGTCTTGCCACCTGTGCCATGGGCACCTGATAATCCACTCCATCACCATTCCAGCTCTAAAGGCGGATGCCTTCCTCACCACTGCGGGGTCTTGGGGCCAGTGGCTTGGGGGGGGAGGCCTTACCTGGCGCAGTCCATCACGGAGCGCAGGCGGTGGGCAATGAGCAGCACCGTGCACTGGGCGAACCAGCTCTCCAGAGCGGCCTGCATCTGGAGCTCCGTCCCCGGGTCCACGGCAGCCGTGGCCTCGTCCAGGATGAGGATCTGGGTTTTCCGGAGAAGGGCGCGGGCCAGACACAGCAGCTGCTTCTGGCCCAGGCTGGGAGGGAGGGGGACAGTCAGGCCCGCTGTTCGTGTGTCTGCACATCAGGGTGTGCAGGGCATGCCCCCAAAGGCGTCTCCACAACAGCCACAGGAGTGGCGGGTCCCCCGTCCACAGAGCTGGTAGGAATCCCCATCCTGCCTTTTTTTTTGACCAGGGTGACTAGGAGAAGTCATCCAAACCCACCATGCCTCAGTTCCCCTGGGAGGAGGGGGAAATAGGAATTGTTTAAAGGGTCCTAAGTTTCAGTTTCGCGAGATGAAAAAGTTCTGGAGTTGGGTAGCGCGGTGAGGCAAATGTGCTCAGTGCTACTGAAGTATACACTTAAAATGGTCCATTTTATGGTGTGTATTTTACTACATTTTGAAAAAAAGCTTTCAAAGGCGTAC